AAATAGGGGTTTGGGTTTCCCTGCTTCTGCTGGTCTCATCCTTTCTGCAGCAAGCTGGGGGATTGTGGTGGCTGGAAAGAGGAAAAGTTTGTGTGTCATTCATTCCTGTTCCATGTAGTATTTCTTAGGCATTTAATAAAAAGGGTGTAATAATGCTTTGTGAGAGCAATTTGGGCCAGATCCACAGATGGTGTGGTGGAGGTTTGGGTCCCTGTGTGCAGGTGCCAGCAAGGAATGGGTTCTCACATCAGCTCCCAGCTGGACAGAACTCTTTCCATCCATATGGCAAAACACCATATTCTGGTGTTTGTGGGGTGGGTGATGCTCACAACTGTTTGGTCTCTGCCTCTCCGTGTTGTTCTCTGCTTGACAAAGTGAAGAGATTTTGCCGAAAACGAATTTATAAATAAGTAAAATCCTGAAATCATGTGGCCACTGAGGTCAGAAAAGACCTTCAAGATCAAGCCCAGCAGTCAGGCCAGCACCAGCACTATGCTCACCATTAAACCATGTCCAGGGGTGGTGACATTTCCATCACTGCCCCAGCAGCCTGTTCCAATGCTTTACAACCCCTTCCAGGACAAAATTTTTCATGATATTGGTTCTAAATGGTGAGGCTGGTCCTGTCCAGTTCTGGTTTCTTTCTCCATCAGTGCCTGGGCACTAGGAAGAGGAAGTTTTTTGTCTGCTTCTCTCTCAGAAAATAATGACTCTGAACAGTTCTCAATCTGCAAATTTTATGGTCAAGGGAGGGAAAACCTGTTCATTTGTCACCCTCAAGAAATGCCACTGGCTGGGGGAAGCTCCTTGAGAGGCAAACCTTGCTGTCACCCTGTGTCATGTGGAGCTTTTGGCAGTGAGAATACCATCCCTGGGATACTTTTGGCACATCATCTCCCTTCCATTCAGGATTCTCAAAATGGAGGCTTGTTATCCTGCTGTTTTTCTATTTTTGGAGTTCAGTTCTGTATCTTGTTTGCATTTCTTTGTGGTCTAAAAAGAAAAGCTTTCTGTTAGCGGAGAATTGATCTGGCAGGATCTTGCTTTCTTTCTTCCTTTATGAAAACCATGATTGCAGGTTCACTAATTATCTATGTTTATTACTGCTCTCTGTGTATTTTTGAGGAACTGATTGATCATAGCTGTTCTTGAGCATTTTAATAATTATATGAAAAAAGCATTTAATGTGACAATCCTGAATTCCAAACAAGCAGTCACACAGCTCCGTACTGAAACAGGTTTTGGGCAGGGCAAATGGACTTTTGTCAATGTGGTTAATCAGATCAATTAGGGACCAACCTCCTTGGCAATTAGCAGGGCCCTCAGTCAGGGGTGTGGAGGATTTCACAATCTGGAACTTCACCTGTGGGATCTGCCCTTGGAAGGGCACGGTGCTGGCAGTGGGTCGGGCATTTGTACATCACATCCTCTCCTACTGTCTTTGGAACTTGAGGTGTTGGGATGGAGGAAGGGTCAGTCCAAGTGCACAGCCCTCAGGAGCAGGAAGAGCTAAAAAATATGTGGTGTAAATATTTTACATCTTGGGAACACACGGGCTTTGGTTTGTTTGACTGAGTATTAGGTAATTCCTGATGAAAGCTGAATAAACAAGGACACAAGAAGGTACCTGCAGTGGGGAATCCCCCTGTAGAACATCTCTGAAATGCTCTGAAGGTGAGAAGGAGAATATCCACACCCCACCTCTGCTTTGTTCACCCAGCAGAGTAATCTCCTTGGCAAGACAGCCTGGGGACAGCACACAGCTCTCATTTTCCTTCTTGTCTCCAGGAATTGCTCTCCCTCTGTCTTGTGGGGATGCAGTTGCTTTCATCACAGTCTGACTTGTGATAAGCAAGCCATAAGTGGCTTGAAATTCAGGTTATTCAGATAAGCATCCTAGGTTGTAACTATAGAAATTCGAGCAGGAAGGTGTTTCAGTTTGATCTGCACTGGAAACTAATCCAAATTTAATCACAGCTACAGATACAATCTTCCATAATCCTGTGATGGTCTAGAATTGCAGTGGAAGGGCTTTATATTTCAAGAATGCTTTTAAATATTTTTTATACATCTGCTATTCTAGAATAATTTCATCATTCTATAGCCAAGTAGAAAAAAGATATTCACTTGTGTACCTACAAAAGCAGAAGCTGTTGTTTTGCTGCTACATGTGTCCTTTACTAGTACAGCAATTCAAATGTGGATATCGAAATAGTTTAGACTTTTAAAACTTCCAAAAGCATTTCAGGCATTTAGATCAGTGTCTGCTTTGCAGACTGCTCCTCAGACAAAATAATTAGGGAATTTTTCTGCTGTAACTGGGGGCGAAGCTGTTTCCTGGCCTTGAGATGGAGGAGACGTGGAAAGGCGACTGTGCCTTGCATTTCTCTTGATTTTATCTGTTGGATGTGAAGGAATCTTTCAGCATATAATCCTTAAAATATTGATCTTGCAGAGGAAGTCTGGAGCTGGAAGGGATCGTCTGTCATCAGATTTGCTGTCGATGTGGCGTCGTGGAGCTGCATTTTCAGCTCCTGGGTCTCGCCTCCTCTTGCTGCAGGGAGGCTCAGGCTGGGGCTGGGTTTAGCTCATGGGCACAAGTGGTTTAGGATCTTTTATTTTGCATTGAATTGTGTTGCCTTTCAGAAGTATGACTGCTGCATGGCCCTCTGGGCTGTGCCAGCACGAGGGAAGTGCTGCTCAGGGAAGAGCTGCTGCTGGGTGCAGAGCTCCCCCATAAACCAAGTCACTCCTCTAAATTTCCAAATGGAGACTAACAAATATCACTAACTCCCAGCTCGTTTTTATTAGCTGGACTATTTTTTCTTCTTTGTAAGTGCCAATATCTGAACTTAAAACTGTGTTTGGTATATGAGAGAAATTCTCTAGCTGATCGTAGCCTATAAAATTAAAATACTGAAGCTCCCAGTGTTTGAGTTTATTGAGGTATAAATATTGGAACGTGGTGTACTATGTGGTTCAGCTCCTTCCTTGTTCTATTTTTCTGAGTCTTTTTGCTTATTTTATTTCTCTGACACTCCATACAAAGGGTTTCCTGGGTTTGATTTTGTCCTGGCATTTTTCAGCAGTCTGGTTCTTAGCGGTATGGAATTAAACAAGGTGAATAACATTTTCTGTTTACTGTTTACATTTTAAAAGGCAAAATTTCTGTTTCAAAAAAAGCATATTCCAGATGTCTCCAGGCAGTAGGACATGTATGTAGTATACAATCTAATAAAACAACAAATACAGCAGAAGGATCAAAAAGTGGTTCATGTTAGCAAATGGTCTGAATTTAAACACCAGTCAACACCAGGACTTCATTTTAGGTGAGGGAAATTCACATGCGAAGTATTAAAATTCAACTTCATAAATGCATTTCCTCAGGAACGGGATGTTGTGCATTTCCAAGTCTTTAAAACTTCCTCTTTCTGTTAATTTTGATTAGATTTTCTAAAATGGAATAAACATAAAAGCATTAAAAAAATATGTAAGCCATGAAAGTTAAATGCAAAACAGATACAACCACAGCAAAGATATGAAAGCCAGACCCCTTTTTCCTCAAGTGCAGTATGGGGGGGAAATTCCTTCACTGTGGACTCGCTTCCCCCACAGGAGCAGTTGTGGACTTGCCTCCCATTAGATAATTTCAGAACATGATCTGATGAGCAATTAAATCAGCAGGAGGCTGCAGTGTTGAAAGGGGGGTTCTTTAGAGATGTCTGTTGCAGGAGGGAGGCTTGACTTGGGGAAGAAAATATCTTTGGCATTCGGATAATTTTGGACAAGCATTGCCCCTAGGGGAGATAGTGGGAGGTGGAGTTGCTATCCCTGGGGACTGCTAAGGAAAGGACAGAAAAAATCTAGGCAAATATCTGCCAGGTGGATTTTTTTTCAGGGAATGGACTAATTGACCCTTATTTCCAATGACCCCCCTGTTGATTTTTAAGGTAATGGTGTCAACATGTCAATCAAATGCTATTTACAGTAGCCCAACGTTGCTGAAGAGGTGCAGAAACTGCTTATGTGGTAATTCTGGAAATTCAGTTTTATGATTCTGTCTTAGACCTTCACCTGTTTACTTAAACTCTTCTTGATCTTTGTCCATCATTGTCCATCATTTTCAGCTGGAACTTTAACAGCAGTGTTCTCAAGCTGGTTTAATGGTTGTTTGCCTCTTCATTTGACTGAATGTAATCCTCTAAAATCCCCTGAAATATGGAATGATGCCTGCTTAGCTTTGGAAAAAGTATCAGCAGGAGCTCACATCATTTTTCTGGGGGGTTGTCTGAGAAGATGCTGTGGAAAGTTTAGGTGAACACAAGGAAGAACAAGGCACAATGTTTTCCCCCCTGCCTGGAAGTGTCCAAGGCCAGGCTGGATGGAGCTTGGAGCAACCTGGGATAGTGGGAGGTGTCCCTGCACGTTGCCAGGAGTCCTATCCATCCCAAACCATTCTGTGATTCTATGATTGTATGCAAGGGGCACAGAAAATGCAGCACAAATTCCTCACTCTTCTAAAATTTTCTCTTTAAGCTCTCTGTGCTTTCTGTGGTTGAAAATGTAATGGTAGTGTGTCTGTTTTCCATTCACGTCAGTTATACCTGCTCATACCCCCAAGAATAAATAGGATTAAAGGCTTGATGCAAAAGGAAATGTTTGAAGAGAAAGGTTTTATAAAAGCCAAAGGTTTGACCAGCAGTTCCTACAGGCTCAGATGTGTTATCTAACCCTAATTCTTCCCCTATATTTTTCTCGTGACCTCAATGAAAGAGCTATGTCACCCTAATTAACAAGGACTTCAGAAGCAGAGACTACAGAGGCAGTGCCTGCAGGAGCTTGGAAAAATACCATAAAATTCCACTTTTCTTTGCTGCCAAAATGAAGCAGTAAACAACAACCCAGCCCGAGCGCCCTGGCTGCATTTCGGATGAGCCCTGCAGGACAGGAGAACCAGGGCCTCTTGTAATCCTTCCTCACCGTGTGCCTTCCTTCTGCAGACGTGGATGAGTGTGAGGTGCTGAACGGGGGCTGCCAGCAGGGCTGTGTCAACACCCAGGGCTCCTTCCAGTGCCAGTGCCAGCCAGGATTTCGGCTCCACGCCGACGGGCGCACCTGCCTCGGTAAGGAACCCCCCACATCCTCCCAGCTCTGGCTTTCCTCTGACTGCAAAGCCTTCTAGACTCTCCAGTCTGAGATTTCACTAAATACCATTACCCATTCTGGTTCAAGCAGCATGTGAGGATTCAGGTACTGCCAAACCTACTCTTTATTTTGTTTTGATTTGGTTTTTTGATGGTGTCTCATGTTGGCGAGAATTCTTTTGCAGGAGGCATTAAAGAGTTTAGGGGCTCTTCATTTCAAATTACATTTTTAAAACTCTGAGTGCTTTTTCTTTGTGGCACATCCCAGCACTGCTCTGGGACTTGGTGATTTTAGAGGTTGTGTCCAGGGTGAAAGATTGTGATTTGCAGGGTGGAGTCACCCTGTGTGTGCTCCTGTCAGTGAGAGCACCATGGAGCTCAGCCATGGCACGTTGCCTGTTTATGTGGATAGGGGATTGCAGCTCTGCCATTAGAAATAAACCCTGTGTTTCTTAGGTTGGGCTCTAAAACCTGAAACGAGGCATACCTGAGTTAATTCTGCTTGTTGTTAAAAACAACAATATGAAATACACAGTTTTTGTATTGCATTTAAATCAGTACAAAAGTCAAATTTTTGAATTCTGCGGAAAGGATTATAATGTTCCTTCATCTTAGAAGAAGAAAAGGGCACCTTTTTTGTTTAAATTTTTAAACCTGATTTGAGGTAATATGGGAAGAACAGTCAAGTACAGTCAGACCACATCTGCAGAATAAGTTCACTCACAGTTTGGGCATTGCCTCAGTTCCTGCACAAAGTCCCTTGGTTGTGCTTAACTTCAGCCAGAGATGTCATCAGTCATTGCTGGTATTATAACAGCAATACGTTCACTGGTGCAACCAGGACACAGTGCTCAAGCTGTGGGAATAATAGATTTTTTATTTTAAAACTTACCCTTTTAGGTTTTTTGGGTTTATCACATACAGAGATTTTCAGTGTTTTGTAATTAACTGCAATTAAAAATGTGATGAAGTCTCAGTCTGTTCTTGATTATCTTAGTTTGTGAGGGAATGGACAATGAAACACTATAGTGAGAGGAAAAATAATGTAAAAGCAGAGTGGTTCATAATGAGCTAGAAGCAATTGTGGTTTTCTGTGAATTAAAAGAGAAATTAATCTCACTCAGATCAGATCTGACCAGGGAAGACCCAGAAGTGAAAGATGGGTTGTTTGAGCTGCATTAGTCTGTCTGAATAGTCTCATTTGTGGTGGAGAGGGATTTTTATATGAAAAGGGGACTAAAGGGACTTTGGGGCGGGAAATAGAAAGAGAACGTGTGATAAAGGCAAAAAGTAGATGTTAATGGCAATTCAATGAATTTATTTGTGTAATATGTAAAATTTTCTGTGGACACAAAATAGTTAGGTTTCCTCTTGCCTCACATAATCAGAAAGCTCAGTTTAGCTTTGTCCAAGCTGTGAACAGTACCAGAGAAGAAGTTTTCATTTCATAAATGTAAATATTCTCAAGAAATTATTCAAAGTACTTCATACAATGACCAGCTTTGTTTGCAGTGTCTCAGAAATTATCAAGGAGGAACAAAAATAAATCCTGAGAAGGGAGACAGGAGTTTCAGAGAGCTCTGCTATCATGATAATGGATGCACAAGATACTGAGGGAGGATATTGAGTCCTGTTCCAGCTGTTTAGACAAGACACCAAAACAAATGGGTATAATAAGCTCTCATGCATTGGAGAACAAGACAGTTACTAATTGATGAGGACAGGGAGCAGCATTCCATATAAATCAGGAGTGCCTAGGATCAGGATCTGGGCAGTAGCTGCTTGCTGGGGATGGAGAGTTTGCCCCTTGTGCAGCACCAGGTTGTACATTCAGCTTTCATCACTCATCTGATGAGAAGAAAACACTGATGCCCCTCTCCTCTGACCCAGTGCAGCTAAGCAGAACATCCAGCATTTCAAACAGGCTTGGATTAGCAGTGGTATTTCTTCCATGGATACTTCAGAGGATGTAAGGATCTCTCCTGCATGCTGAGAAAGAAAAGGGACCACATTCTGGCACTGAGCTGTTTATGGAAGGTGATTATCTCAGCTGCAGAAATAAGAAACAAGAGTCCCTCTAGAGAGGCTTTTCAGAGGAGCCCAGCCCAGATTGCTGTTATGTTCATTCTTTCCACGTCCTCCTTTTCTTTTTTGGCAACCCTGTGTTTGTGGGAACAAAAGTGCCAAAATCATTTGAGGGGAAGCAGATTTTGCAGCCTGGATGGCTTGGAAATCTCCCATACATAAGGAAGTGGATCTCTCATCTTAGGAGATATTCAGCCTTCATCTGAAGGCTCAAAAACCTGGGATAAGATACTTCCTCATGTGATTCATGGAATATTACTGAGCTGCTGTCACAAGTTTTCCAGTAAATCTGGTCCTCCTGCCACCTGAGCACAGGGTGTTTGGGATTCTGAGTAGTTGCTGGTGGTGCATCCCTCCACTGCCAGTATGAGCCTTAAAATACATGGAGAGAGGAGATCTGCTTTTGCCATTCTTCCTGCTCTCACTGGAAACTTCTGCTCATACTCCAAGGCAGAGAACTCTACTCCTACTCTGCTCAGACCCAGAAATCTCCAGAGTGGGTTGATTTGTTCAGTGATGACCAGTGTGTGAGAATAAACTGTTTAATTCCTGCATCCTTTGATGTTGCCCAGTACTTCGTGCCATGATAAAATCCCATCTCTTTCAACACTCCTTTTCTCCCTTCAGCTTTTGGGTCCTACAAATTTTGCTCAGCATTGAATTAATTTATAAACACACGTGCCAGACCAAATATTCACTTCAACCCTGTCCAACTTTTTTGTTTGCTTTGTTTGTAATGCCTTGATTATGTTAATGCAATGAATTTGACTTCACTGGAGTTTATCCAGCTGGTATCTGAAAAGCTGAAACTCAGAAAGAACATGTTTATTGTAGTATCAGGCTGTGGGTTTGGACTGTTGTAGATTCATTGTCTTCAGTGGAATTTATTCCTGTTTGAACTCCTAGAAGTGGAAACAGGGCAGAGCCATTAGACCCTGATTCATCTCTGGTGCCAGCTGTTACTTTGATGTCTGCTTTATGTGGAGAAACTGTTGAGATTCAGGTTTTTTATGGAGATTTTAGCACACTAAGGCTCTTATATATTGAGAAAGTAACAAAGAAAATATCTCTACAACTCTATAATCTGTGTTTCCCAACATAAATATAAGCCCTGTATGTCTGAAGTTCCATTTCTTGTCACTGCCAAGGTTGGATTTAAGGTGATGTAAAACACAGGTTGGAAGAGATTGCATGTTCTAACCCTGTAGTTGCTATGCATGTACCTAACTGTAGCTTCAGAGCCAGCTCTTTGTAAAAATATCACCTTTATTATAAAAAATAATGGGTTGAGAAATATGTATTTAACTGTTATCAGATCAGGGGCCTACAAGGGAAATGGAGAGGGAGTTTTTACAAGGACATGTTGTGACAGGACAAGGCAGAAAGGCTTTGAATTGACAGAAAGCAGGGTTAGACTGGATATTAGGAAGGAATTGTTCCCTGTCAGGGTGAGGAGGCCCTGGCACAGAGAAGCTGTGGCTGTCCCTGGATCCCTGGCAGTGCCCAAGGCCAGGCTGGACAGGGCTTGGAGCAGCCTGGGACAGTGGAAGGTGTCCCTGCCATGGCAGGGGGTAGAATGAGATGATCTTTAGGATGAACCCAAACCATTCCATGATCCTTTTTTTTTCTCACTTGGTGTCTCCCACCACCGTCCCCCTTCCCAGATAGCCCCTCCCTCTCTTGGCATCACCTGGCATCATCCCCAGCCTGTCTGGAACCCACATCAGGGCTGGGTTTCTACCAAACTCCAAGAGTGAATCTTTGAAAGTGAATGTCAGGCCACATTTCTTCCTGTGGAGGTGCTCATCCCTCCATCCAGAGGCCCTTGGTGACAGCTGGAGTCAGACCCAGGAGCTGCCAAGTCTCTCTCTGCTCAGAGACGTGCTGCTGGCAGCCACGAGCACAATCCTGTCCTGTCCCTGGAGGCTCCTCTCCTTCAGTCTGGCACCTCCTCTCACAGATCCAGCCTGGTGCCTCAGCAGCAGCCCTGACAAACCTGCCCTGGCTGCTCCAGAGCAACCCCTGGCTGCTGGCACCAAGCTGGGACACATGGATTTCACACCTGTCCCCTCCCACCTTCAGATCCTCCCCAGCCCTCATCGTGACAGGTTGCTGCTTATCTCCCCTTGCATCCAAGCTGGCTGGTGCCCAGAAGCAGAGGGAGAAAATGGCACTTTTAAAAGCCGACGTGTATATTCTGTCACTCGGATTTAAGATGTTTTTCGTCTTCTGAAATATTTTCATCTTATTTGAATATTCTTGCTGAAAAACAGGTCTTTGGTAAAAATGTGCAGGGAGCTGGAAGCTCAGAGTGTATGGGGTCTGCAGTCTCCTGTGCAGACAGGAGCTGCTGTCAGGTCTTGTCCCTGGCAGGGCAGAAGGCTGGTGGGCACAGGTGGAGGTCAGGGGTCTGATCCTGCCAGGGTCAGGTTTCTGGGCACTGAGATGCCTCCTGCTGTGTGTGCAGCCAGGAGAATGTGAAAATTTGCTTTTCTTTTCACCTTTTTAACACATACTTGACTGCACAAACTCAGTGTTTGCTAATTGGTGGCATAGGGTGAAATGAATCCTGTAGCAGGTTTTGCAGCTAACGTTTACTAATGTCTGTTACAGATAAATGAAGAAATACGAATATTGCTAAAATGAATAGGAAAAAATAAATAGCAAAGCTCTTTGCTGACTTCATTGGGTTCAGAGTTTGCTGCATTCCACGATGGACCAAATAATCTTTCCAGCTGGTCATAGAGAACACAGGATCCCAGAATGGCTTGTGTTGGAAGGGACCTTAAAGCTCATCCAGTCCTACCCTGCCCCACCCCTTCCACTACTCCAGATTGTTCCAAGCCCCACTGAACCTGGCCTTGGACACTTTCAGGGATGGGGCAGCCACAGCTTTTTTGGGCAACCTGTGCCACGGCCTCCCCACCCTCAGAGTCAAGAATTTCTTCCTAATACCTCATTTAAATCTCTCCATGCTACATCCCTGCCGTGGAAATCTCCATGCAGCCACACACACACACACTTCCATCAGCACAGCACAATAGCAGAGTCAAACCATCACTCTTATTTTTACATGCAGCGTGTGAATAGGTGTGGGTGGGTGTTAACATGTTTTGTCAGGAGGAGAAATGTTTCTCCAGAGGCCAGGGATATGTGTTGAACAAAAAAGAATATTAATTTGCTTGGGTGAAAGAAGCAGCATCTTTAAAGATGTACAGAGGGCCCTCTGTTCCTATGGTTTGCTGTGTGAGTCTGTTCTGCAGAGCTTGTGGCTTCTGTTATTTGATTTTTTTTTTATTTATGAGGCTGAGGAAATCAGCCTGAAAGACAATTACTATTTTTAATCAATGAAAGCAAGGAGAGAAAAAGATAATCAATGGGCAAGTGCCAGCAGGGCTGTTCTTTTTTCCCCTCCTTGCCTCGGCGGATTGGCAGTGCTTTGGTGCTGTCAGATCAAAGGGTGCTGTGCTTCAGTCAGCATTACAGCCCTCAGATCTCACCTGCCTCTCCCTGGAGTCAGGATTTCACTGGTGTGGGACGCTGTGTCAGCCAGGCTCCGTGAGCACAAGGGAGAGCAGTCACTCAGGGGTGGGGACAGGTGCATTTCTGAAAGCTGTTCAGCGAGGTTTGCCTGGTTTTGCTGTCATTTATGTATTTAAAATAGGAAATAAGTTCTCCCAGGTTGTTGACGTGCGTTCCTTCCCTGCTTCCTTGGCTGCAGCTGTCAATTCCTGCAGCATTAACAACGGGGGCTGTGAGCAGGACTGTGTTCAGCTCAGCGAGGACCACTACAGGTGCCAGTGCCAGCCAGGCTACCAGCTGAAGACAGATGCCAAATCCTGTGAAGGTGAGTCCTGTGCTACCTGTGAAGACACACAGTAAAGGCAATTTAAAAGACCTCAGGATGGTGTTTTGGGTCACTGTGTCCATTCCTATTTCCCCCTGCGTGCCAAAAGCAGTTTTAGGAATTGCTTATTGACAGGGTTTTAAAATAACAAGTGTTTGAGGTGTGAAGTTCACTTCGAATCACAGCTTTGAACAAGATTTTGGCCTCCTAGATCCCTGGCTGTTCCTTGCACAATGATGTTGATGACATAGGTTAGGAACTTAATAGTGATTTAATTCTAACATTTTATTGCTCATCAAGTTGTATATAGAGTTGGCCTGCATTACATGTTTTATTCTACAAAAAGTCTTCTCTTTTATCTCCTTTTGGCTTATCACAGGCTGATTCATTCATCCTGCCCTTCAGGTTTCTAAGCACTCTCTCAAGCAGAACAGCAATGCTACCTTTGGGTTTGATTGTTGCTTTTCTTTTCTTGTATATCTTAACATATTCATCAGTTTTGAAGGCAACCCCCCCCCCCCATTCCCCAACACAAGCACACACACACACCCTTGAACATGCCAGAGAAAGATAAGGCCAAATTTATGGATTTATTGAGCTGAAATTCCTGTCACAAAACCGTTTCCATATGGCTCCTCTTCTGCTCGGAGATTTTACACGCTGTGGGTGAAGTGTAAGTAAATCCTGCTGTTCACATGGCTCCCAGCTCCTGCTGGGTGCAGAGAAACCTTTCCCTTGGGTTTGGCCTCCCCAAATCCTGCCCTCAGTGGGGACTGCACCCCAGGGAGCACTCACAGCCTGGTGGCCTCTGTCTCTCATGGGGTGGCCACGTTTTTCCCCTGAGATTATCAAAGAGCCAGAAAAGGGGAGGTTTGGGGTGTCAGAGAGCTTCCTCTGCTGTTCCCCATCCCTTTTCCAAACATCTCGAGATGTGTTTGGCCAGCTGGCTGTGCAGAGCCTGCTCAGGGCTTTGGGGTGGGTTGTATGGAGTGGTGGCACAGTGGTTGGGTCAGAGGGGTCTGGGTGATGCCAGGTGGGGTGGGAGTTCTCCTGGAGTGCTCACAGCACAGTTCAAGCTCCCGTGGACCACTTCCATGCTCTGTCTCAGCTGGGACCCCTGAAGGGGGAGGTTTTGCCACCACTGTGGCAAAACCCTCATGTGGTGGGGCTGAAGAGAGTTACAGCCACTCAGCAAAGGCAGAGGTTTGTCACCAGCCCGTGGTTACTGAACACTGGAGAGGGGCAGGGTCAGCCTTGTCTGCAGGTGGGCACCCATTACCCGGGTACCTGCTTACCCCTGGGTGTTTGAACCAAAATAAATAAGTGCAGCCCTCCCCAGGGAGGCAGTTGTGCCTGGGGGAAGGAGGATCTGCCTTGTAAGCAGAGCTCAGTCTGGAAAATAAAGACTGAGTAGGATGCTTTCCCCCCGATAAATACCTGAGTGAATGAATGCCTGGGAAAGAAAAGTGCTAGGTAAGCACATGGACAAGATTTTTACAGGAGCAAATGAGGGTGAGGTGGTCATGAATGCATTTGGGTTGTCAGTTCAGAGATATTTTAAGTAGAAGAGGTGGGAGGACGTGAGTCTGGATGTTGTTTTTTTTTTTTATTTTCCAACCAAAGCTTGGCTGCTGGAGTCATGGTTTGGATGGAGGAGCCACAGTGTCATGAGAGTGTTTGCCACAGCAGGTGTGGGTGCTGTGCAGGTGTGGATTCATCCCTGTGGACTCCTTGTGAGTTAATACTGCATCCACAGCCCTGCAAAGCCTTGGAGAAACACTCAAGCCTGGCAGTTTTGCTCTTTCCCACTTTATATTTTCGCCAGTGTGAAGTCATGGTTGCTGTGAACAAGAAGATTTATTTGATAAAGCACAAACCTCTTTTCTTTAGGTGCTCTAGAGGTTGTGGCAGACAGGACTGGGGACCGTGGTGTTTACAGCCCTGTCTGCCCCATCCCTGGCAGTGCCCAAGGCCAGGCTGGATGGGGCGTGGAGCAGCCTGGGACAGTGGAAGGAGTCCCTGCCCGTGGCAGGGGGTGGAGCTGGATGAGTTTTAAGGTCTCTTCCAATCCAAACCATTTTGGGGTTCTTGTCCTGAGGCACCTGGGAAATGAAAACATGCCACTAAATTTTTCACCATAGTGTTTAACAGCTTGGAGTAGAGCTTTGTAGGATGGAGTCTGTTATCTACTAAAGTTATTAAATGAACCAGTAAGAGGCAAATGTGTGAAAAAAGAACACTAATGAGTTATTTTTGGCTTTTCCTGAAACCTGCTTCTAACAGGAACAAACATATCACTGGAAAGCAAGTCAATCACTGATTGCCTTATGTCCTGAAGATCTTGCCTTTACAAACTTACCTCATCCAAGGACTTCCAAGGCTGCTACCTTTATTTGAATTACTATGTTTTACTAACATCCACTGTGTAATTTGTTGTTTGCCTGTTGTCATGTCACAGAGCATTACAAGCTTTACTCCGTGCTGTAATCATGCTCAAATTAAAGCTTTAGCTGCTCTGAAAACCTTCATAACACGCAGGTTTAACAGATGCTGTTTGATAGTGATTTCATTTAATTTACCCAAATAGAAAAGGAATCGGCAAATAACTCAATATTTCATATCAGCAAGGAGTGAGTTCTTGCTTGGAGCTAAATCCTTTGTAGACCGCAAATTGTCGAGCTGCAGAGCCAAGTTGTCAGCCTTGGAAGTGTCATGCACGATGAAGTGCTGCTGTTCCTTGGAAACCTATTTGCAACCTATCGTGTCAGAAGTCCAATTTCAGTTCTACATCCCTAACCATGCTTTTTTTTTTTCTTTTTTTGTTTAATACTGTCAAGTCAAACTCAGCCCTGCAGACTGGAACGGTTTGTGTGTTGTGTGTTCTCGAGATGGCAGGAGGTGACATGAGGCAGTTTGAGGATGTTCTGCGGCTGCTTCCTCCTTTACCAAATGGTGGCACAAAATGCCACTCAGCGGCACAGAAAAGTGACAAAAAAAAAAGCCCTGCCCCATGTTTAAATCCACATGAAGTAAAGGTTTTCTCTCCTGTTCCCTCCACCTGCGTAGCCAGTGGAAGAGCAAAGCAGCCAAGTCAGAGCAAAACTCCTTCAGCCCTTCCCAGGGTTCTTCAAACCCTGACTCCAGTGTTCAACTGATGGTGACTTTCCTCTGAGGCTCTGAGAGAAGTTGGCTTGTACAGAGCAGGGCAAGTGAGGAATATTGGTCATCTGTCTCAAATCAGACAGTAATTAGTCAAATGCAAAAGTTGAATCAGAGCTGGAATTGTAGGGAAATGAGTACAGCTTTTTAGAAGTTTTATTCAAAGCTAAGCAGAACTGTAGGGGGCACATTTGCAAGGTGTCCTCCAAATTTACCTGTTAAATGTTGTTCACCAGAATTTTGGTGTAATGAGTGCTCCAAAGCAAAACCTCAGCCTGGTGCAGAATGTCAGACCTTAACCCAAGTCAGACCTGTCTGAATAGTCGTGGTGGGTCTGTTTTGGGGTGTGCCAAGTCTCTATTTGGGCAGTATGCTTCCAGCAGGTACATGTTCCAGAAATAAACCCATACAACACAATGAAATCTTTGAGATGGAGGCTTCATAAAAGTTTTCCTAAGTACTTGCCACTTAGGGCAGCTTATCCTTGAAAAGGTATGTTATTGTTCAAGAAGAGGAAAAAGCCTTGATGTACAACATGAATGGCATATGTTTATAGACTGAAAGATGTCTTTGGGGGCTCTTCAGTGTTTATTTCCTCTCAAGCCTTTTAAATATTCATTGTTTTGTGGTGAACTCCATCATTGTGTGTGTTTATGGATTCACACATACTGGAGTGCTAATTGCTGTTGTTTAGAGAACTCTTGAAATCTGTTCAGGTACAGCAAAATAACAATAAAATGTACTTTTTTTGTCCTACTTCCAATGTAATACAAACTCGGTTTCCTGCTGTTTAAAGCCTTGTTCCTGCTCTGTGAAAAATGTTGTCCAGCAACAAAAAGCATCCAGAAAAACAGCAGCTTTACTCACCAGATACTGTCACATTTTTCCCCAGTCTAATCTCTTACAGCTACTTCGTCATTAGTTGTAACAATGGCAGGTAAGACCATTTTCAGGCAAAAAGTGACCTTTCAGTTGACAGTGTGCTCTAATTGGTTTCAGTGATAGACCCCTGCACAAGTGGGAATGGAGGATGCTCACAAATCTGTCAGAATGAGAGAGGAATTGCAAAATGCGAGTGTCATCCAGGGCATTCTCTTGCTGCAGACAAAAAGTCCTGTTTAGGTAAGAAACTCTGGACTCTTTATTGTGAAGAATGTTATTAATCAGTGCTCTGCCTTACTGAGCTGTGAGTGGAAAGGAATATTTTAGACAAATATATGTGTGTATTTTGAAACAGCATTTCTCTCTGTGATATTCACATCAGCCTGTGGTCTTGAAGGATTTTTTTAGTGATGAAAATTTCTCTGTGATCTCCTAAGTCATGCTTTCTAGCAACTGGATTTGTGAATGCTGTAGTGTTATTCTTGTTGGGTCCCTTTAAAATAATGTCCCAGATACAGCTCCTGGAAAACTGGTTCAAGTAAAACTCTGAACCAGGTCACTGAAAACCTATTTAGAATTCAAAGGGCTTTTTAGCTGGAGAACTGTTTCCATATTAATGGAGAAACTACTGTGAAGGAAGAAATCATGATGTGTAAGATTTCCAAAGAGAGGAGCTTAAAAAGTTGAATTCTAAAGTCCTGTGTTTAGTATGGGGTTGTCAAAAGAATCTGTATAATTTCTAACCTGAAATTTGGGGAAACTGGAGATCAAAATACCTGCTTTTCTCTTTCAGTGAAACTCTTGGAAGATAGTTTAGCAGCTTTATGAAGTAAAAAGCATTTGTGGACTTAGTGGTGCACAGATTCTTAACAGCCAAGTCAGGACCAGGATGTGCATATATATATATATATATATGGACACTAATTTGCACTCCTCTTTTGAAAACTTGGCCAAAATCTTGCCAATATGTGAATTATTGTCTCATATAAAGGGTGCTGGGTGCCTTTCAAAATATTTACTTCCTACCCTGAGTATTTTACTCAGTTGCCTGTAAGCCCTTCTGTGAGTAGAATGGCACATCTTAGTGATTCTCTCTTACTGGAATTACTCATGAGTAATTACTGAAAATAAAAACTGTTTTCATGTACTAATAATGAGTGGATAGAAACAACAGTGGGTTTAGCAGTAGGGTCAGCCTGTTGTTTGTTTTAGCTCAGATGCACATTGACATTTCTGTTGATTTATGTATAAACTGAATCACTGAGTTAACTTGCAGTGTTATATATTGGAAGAAATTTTCTCCCCAGCCTCATGGCAACAATCTTTTGAATCATTAAGCAGCGTGTCTTACCATGGATATACAATTATTGGTTTTTTCTCCTAGAAGTTACTCAATGTCTTTTGCAAAATTCAGGCTGTTGTTTGACTCTCTGGAAACCGAGCTGGAAGGAGACAGAGGGCAGCTGAAGTGTCATACTTCAGCTATTAGCTCTAGGACAGGAAGAAACCTGTGCAGGATAGTGGCTGTGGTTCAACTTTTTATTTTTCCATTAATAAAGAAGAAGAGAAAAGAATATTTACAGCATTGGCCAGCGCAGTGTACTCACAAAATGACAATTAGAGAAAAAGGAGGAATAACCCATTTTATTCTAAGCAGCAGCTGCTCCCATGGCTGCTTCAGAGAAGCTGTCATTTGTCCTGAAATTTTCATGAGCCAGTGTGTGGTGTTTGCACTGCCTGGGGCCTCTCTTTGCAAGGAGCCTGATTGCATCCATCAAGCTGCTTGTGCTCAAGTGCAGGGGCCACGAGCACAGCACTGGGCACAGCACGTGTGGGGGGACAAAACTGTCAGAAAGTGTGGTTTGCTGGGATAAAGAGTGAAGAGCTGCACATCAGATTGCTCCCTGCCATTTTCAAGACACTGACCCAGCACTGGTGCAATAAATAATCTGTATTTTGCCAGAAAGTTGTCAGAATGGGAAGGAACAGGAGATGCATCAGGGGTTTGCCATGTGTGATACCAGTCTTTCCGTAGAGGTCAGTGTTCTGTGCAGCTGTATTTGGTGTAAATTTTTGTGGGTTCATTTGTTTTTAATTAAAACTTAAAAGTTTTAACTAACTCCTTAAAAGTACTTTTATGTTCCACTGAGATTTTAGGAAGATGAATGCCTTTGGGAACATTTAACTCCAGAATACAGACCAGCAAGTGTGAAGCTGAGGAGCAGACTTGGCAGAGGGCTGGGGGAAGAGCAGCCTCCCCACTAAAGGCTCTGCAGTTTTCCTTTCCTCACAGGGCTGGTGGAGCTGCTGTGGCTGCAGCAGGTGCCTCCCCACTGCACTGCTCTAAAGCAGCTGCAGCATTCAGGGAGGATCTGTCTCCATCATCCCTGCTGAAACCCAACCACCTCTTAATCCAGATCATTTGACATTCAAAAAATAATCAGCTAGTTATTGTTCCATTAATTTAACTATAATGGCTTGGAGAACATGGTGAAAATTTCAGAGTTTTGGAAGTTTCTTCTGAGTTCTTCACATGAGGTCTCCTTTTGCCACTGCTCTTTTTACAGGAATAATAAATAAGTTCCTTTGGCTGATACTGCAAGTATAGTGTTTGATACTGTAAATGTTCACACTGAGAAGCTCAAGGTCAATGGTGCTCAGAAAAAGATTTTTCTGGAGAATAATGTGAGTATAATGTTATAGATGCTGTCCTTTGTAGGCTGACCCCAGGATAATCCTTCCAGCAGATATTTGGAAACACAACCACGTCCATGTAGAGCAGCATTATTTTTTCATTGCAGTATCCAGCTGAACGACTTTCTGTGTGCTTGCAGACGTGGATGAGTGTGCTGAGGGCAGGGCCAGGTGTGCCCATCGCTGTGTGAACACCCCGGGCTCCTTCAGCTGTGTCTGCAGCCCTGGCTTCGAGCTGGGCGCGGATGGGCGGCGCTGCTACCGTAAGTGACCCTGCCAGCCGTGCTCTTCTTCCTCTCCTCTCTGCTCCCTGCCAGGCCTCAGTTCTGATTCTCTGGGATTACATCCCCAGCAGAGTAAATGTATGCAAAAGATCAAGCTTAATACTGTTTTCTGCCTCTGCTGCTGGGTTTGCAGGGTGACACGCTCCTAAGCTTATGTTCACAGACCTTAATTACTGCCTTTCAAAGAGCAAATAGCCCTGTTGGTTTATCTTCAGAGTCTGGTGAATTCTGCTGCAGAGCTACCAGAATGCTGCTGTTCTGTGAAATGTATTCATTCCTGCCCTCCTCCTCCTCCCAGCTTTCTTACAGAGCTGATGCAAGAGAAAACTAACACGATGTTCTGCTCTTGTCTTTACCTGTCTGGGTTTGCTTATGCTTCTCCTGAGATTACTGACACTATTAAGAGGATGCTTAAAAAAAAAAAGGCAACAAAAAAAGTAAGATTTGGGATGAAAAAATAGTTGAACAACTCAAACTTCCCAAGCTCAAGCGAGCCCTGTTGTCTTTCCTCACATGCTTACCTCTTGCCAGCGGGGTTTCTTAATCAACACAGCTTTTCTGGAGAGGGGGACTGACTCCCAGTGCTGTTAGCTGATAGGTGATCCCTGGCCTGCCCTTGAGGGCAAATTTAGATTAATAAAGGAGGTGATGTGGAAGAGTTGGGGCTATTATGGACCTAACATAAGCTCCCTGGAATGCAGACAAAAGCATGACCTGTTTTAGCAAAGAGGTGGGCAGAGATCATTCAATCTAATAATACTGTGCAAGAGCTTTCAGCAGAGCTTCCTTAGGAAAATATGCTGCATGCCAGAGAATGAGTGCTTTATTTAAGAATGTGTGTGTAAGAAATAGTTATTAAGAATGAAATCCAGTTTCAAGGCATTAACATACATTAAAAACAAAACCCAATTATGTGAGAGACATCCTGGAGAGTTATTTCATAGGTGATGGGGAACTGTGAGTGGTGCAATGGCAGAGGAAATGTGATTAATATACAGATATGAAATCTTCTGTCATAGGCATAAAAAAGAGGTTTAGACCACTTAGATTCCATTGTGCTTTTCTGATAATAATTTTTCTGGATGTTCAGCAGATCTCAGGGGATGGTGATTCTCTGTGCCTCATGTACAATATTGCAGAGCAAACAATAAAAATAAAAACATTCTGCATATATTTATGATCAGGATTATCCCAGTGTTTGAGCAATTTACAATCTTTGTTTATTCTTTCATTTCCCCAGTGGCTGGGGAAGAGCTGGTATTTCAGTTTTACTGATGAAGAGCTGGGACAAAGTAAATGATGAAGATTGTGTATGAAGTCAGATTCTGCATTTAATTGCTGGGTTTACTAAATCCCAGCTTAACACACTGGACAGGAGACACGATTTCTTCTCCCTGGTGCAAATAATCACACTATGCATGAGATGTAGAGATATTTATTCTCTTAATTTATACCGTCTTCCAGATGGAATTACATTTCTTGTTGGCAAGCAGGGTGCTCCCTGGGAGCACAGAGAGGGGTAGGACCAGAGCCCACCAGCACAGATGTGTCTGGGGAAATTCTGTGCCAGATCTGATGGCCACTCTGAGCTGGGCTGTTTCTGGAAGTACTGTGGCTCCTTTAGGAAGGTTATTTCTCAGTTTCCCTACATAGCAGGAGAAATTATTTCCTCTCTAAATAGCTCTGTAACAAAAGCTGGCTAATCCTTCATGAAAAACTTCATTACTGACCCTATGGTTTCTTTTTATCCTGGAGAAATCATCTGATACATAGCTGGGTGGGAATGAGGTGGCCAGGTGTTCCCTTTTTCGTGTGAGGGCTCCCATTGGAAGTGGCCAGGTTGTTCTGAGGACTGTCCAGTGCAGCCACATGAGGAGGGCATGGAAGTCTGTCCGGGCAAAGTGGGCTGGCAGTGTCACTGTCTTTGTCCCCTGTCTCCTCAGCAGAGGAGCTGCTGTCTCCCCCTGGAAAGGACACCCAAGAACCAAAACCTGGAGATTGTTTTTCATTGTGGCTGGTGTCCATTTCACCAGCAGGACTCTGCTGAGGAAGTTTCATTGTCTGTGTTTGGGGGACGTTTCAGAACCCAGCTCTTTGCCGTTGCCATGCACAACTCAAAGCTGCTCTTTGGGAAGTGTGTCAGCCTGGGTTGGGGGGCACCACCTGGGCTCCTCAGATGCCTCTGTTCCTCCTTTGGGGCAAGCACTGTGTCCAAACAAAGCATAAACCTGAGGAAAGCTGGGAAGGCTCCTGTAGCAGGTGGGTGCTGAACATTGAACCAGCTTCACACGGCTGACTTTGAGAGCATCCACTGTTCTGCCACATGCACCTGGAGCTCAGTGACTCCAAAGCCTGCTCTGCTGGGGAGGGGCTGAGAGCTGATTACACTCACCTCTACAGCACTCATGGCTGCTGTTTTACATCCTTCGGGCTCGCTTTTTAACACCCCTCTGATTTATCTCTCTGCAAGGCATCGAGATGGAAATCGTGGACAGCTGCCGGGACGGGAACGGCGGCTGCGAGCACGGCTGCGAGCACACGGCAGCGGGACCACGCTGCTCCTGCCACCGTGGCCACCGCCTGGCTGGGGATGGCAAAACCTGCACAGGTAACCCCAGCTGCCAGCAGGCAGCTGTGGAAGGGCCCGGGGAGCCTGCAGGAGAGCTGTCGCTCCGGGAAAATTGTGCATTCCCTCCTTCTGCAGGTGTTAATTAACGCCGTCCTCCGGCTGCGCTGCTCCAGCTCGCGCTGGGAGCTGGCTGGGATGGGTCCCCAAGGAGGGCAGGGAGTGGCAGTGACACTGCTGCATCACCTGCTGCCATGGCTGTGTCTCGCCATGGGTCCCCAAGCATCTCAGACCCCACTTTGTGTCCCTTCCCCTCTCAGATGGTGGCTGGGAGCAGCAGCACAACTGCTCCCAAGTCCTTGCACAAACTGCACGTGGTGCTCCAGAGCCTGCTGTGTTTCCATCAGATTTGCTCAGTGATGAGGTTACACTTCTGCCTGTGAGAAGTCTCACTTTGTTGCTTTCACCTCCCGAGTTAGATTTGGGTTTATTTTGAGACACAAGCTAAAAAATTCATTCATGTTTTAAGCAATTCTACTGTGAGATTTTTTTTTTTTTGTGTGTGTGTATGTTTGTTTTATGTTTTTGTTTGTTTATGGCTTTTGTCATGCAAAATGTATCTCATTCTGCTTTGGGCTTGCTGTCACTATGCCATTACAATTTTTAAGAATAGCCAGGAAGAGAGGGGGAATGGAAAAAGGAACAGGCACCACAGAGCAGTGTAGTGAGATATGAGATGATGAGAAGAGGTAGATTGTGGGAGCATTGATGAGTGTGAGAGGCATTACAGACAAAAGGAGTCTTGCAAGGAAAAAAAGCCAAGTGCAGGAGAGAGGAGGTACAGGGGAGGGGGGAAGCATTGAGGACTGCAAGGGCGGGTGATGATGGAGCTTAAAAGGCAAAAACAGAAAAAGTTTGGGAGGCAGATTTGGAGCCAGAGCCTCACAGGGGTGGGTGGGTTGCAGTCTTGTCTGTACAGCTGACAGGAGGCAAAGCAGCCTCCTGCCCACATCCCAGCTCAGTGACCTGCTGCTGGGGATTTCAGAGGGAAGCAGATACTCCAGACAGAGCAGGGGAAGGGAGAGAACACAGAGGAAGGCTGAAGACATGAAAAGTTGCTCTTAACAGCAAAAATCTCCCTTTTGTTGGGTGCAGATTTTGCATTCCTGAACAAACAAGGGGCTGTTGCTGGAACCCAGAGCGAGGCATCACCTGATGTACTGCAGAGGAGCTCAGCTGGTGACATTTCTGGAAAACACTGCCTTCAAATAACCTGCATTAATCATTTTCACACTGACCTCCTCACCTCGATTGATTAATTACATTTTCTTTCTCCTGTCCATGTTTCCTCATAAAGTTGGTGCTCCTTCCAAGGTTAATTGAGACACTGACCTTTCCCATCTGCAGCTGCTCAGCCAGGCCACGTTCAGAAGCATTTTGCAGACTCAGCATTGACAAGGTGGCCCTTGGATGGCCACTGACCTGCTCAGCAGCCTGACAGCAGCCAGGAGCCTGCAGTGCACAGATAACAGCTCAGCTCTCCTATCTAATCACCAGAGCAGTGGTGTCAATGATACCAATTTCTGAGCGGGCACAGAGCAGGAGGAGGCAGCAGGAAATCAGGGACCAGAAACTACAGCTGAACCTTCCAGGCTGCTGCTGTCCAGCAAGTGCCTGGTTGGATCAGAGCATTGCTAGTTTGCAGTGAATAGGATTGAATGTAAAGAAGGTCTGAATAGTCAAATGTAGGTTACTGTTAAACAGAATGTTTTTGAGGGCTGGTGGGTCCTTGCTGTTGTCTCTTTTTGTAGAACCATAGAATATTTTGAGTTGGAAGGGACATACAAGGATCGTTGAGTCTCATTCCTGGCCCTGCACAGACATCCCAACAATCCCACCCTGTACATCCCTGGGAGCATTGCCCAAACCTCCTGGAGCTCTGGCAGCTTCAGGGCTGTGCCTGTTTCCTGAGGAGCCTGGGCAGTGCCCAGCACCCTCTGGGGAAGAACCTTTTCTGAAATCCAGCCTAAAACTCCCTGACACAGCTCCAGTCATTCCCTTGGGTCCTGTCCTTGATCATCAGCAAGACCAGCTTGTGTTTTGTAAATCCCCTCAAGGCAGCTCAGATGTGTAGAGGAGATGCTTTCCCAGGACATGGAGAGTCCTGGCTGCAATGGGGGAAGGTAGAAGGCAGCTGCTGCCAGGATTCAGTGTTTATGTGCTTGAAGGGAGGTGTAAAGCAGCGAGTCCTGCAGCACACAAGCTCTCAGCAGAGCTGTGCAGCAGCTGGGGGTGTCTCAAGGGCTGAACGTGCTGCCCTTTCCATGCAGATGTGGACGAGTGTGAGACTGGGGAGTCCTGCTGCTCCCAGTTCTGCATCAACTACGCGGGGGGCTACGAGTGCGCCTGCAAGGCGGGGTTCCAGCTCAGCGCCGACGGCTGCTCCTGCGACGGTGAGCGCTGGGACAATGGGCTGGGCTGGGCTGCAAGGGACCCAAGGGTCATCCCATTCCACCCCTGCTATGTGCAGGGAACCCTCCCACTATGCCAGGCTGCTCCAAGCACCATCCAAGCTGACGTGGAACGCATCCAGGGATGTGGCAGCCACAGCTTCGCTGGGCAGCCAGGGCATCACCCCCCTCACAGGGAAGAATTCCCTCCTAATATCCAGTCTAAACCTTCCCTCTGTTAGTCTAAAGCCATTCCCACTTGTCTTGCATCATTCCATGCCTGTGTCAAAAGCCTTTTGGTACCAGTGGCTCAATCTAATTAATCACAGCCCAATGTAGAAGAAATGCTGTCAAAGCCCTTTGCAGGGCTTTGTGGGCACTGCCCTAATGGGAGTCACTGACCCTATGCCAGCTTTGCTGATAAGGTTTTACAGATGTGTCCTTTCCACTTTATGAGGCTGGAATACAGGAATAACCCAGCATCCCTCATGAGGAAGTGGGGATGTGGGAGAGGAGCCAGCAGAGAGAAAATTTCCCTCCTCTCTCCATGGACACTTTATACTGATGTGTGTTAAAACACTCCTTCCACAAAAAAAGAGCCCTCAAAATAACTGAAGGATCAACTGAGCTTAACAGCTTAAAGCATCTGTTTTCACTCGAGACAAAAACATCAGTGAAATAATCTGCTCCCTGTTGCCCTGAAATGTTTTCATACCTCCAATACCAGAGAGAAATGGAGAGCCTCAAAACACATAAGAAAAATTGTGTTTTCTTATGTATAGAATAATGTGTCAGATGCAGCTGGGCACAGCATGGGCTCTCCAAGCAGAAGTACTTGTTCCTAATCACCATTTATGTCTGGATTTTCTAGATGTGGATGAATGTCGTCTGGATAATGGCAACTGTGACCATTTCTGTGTGAATTCCCTGGGTTCCTACGAGTGTGCCTGTAAGGAGGGTTACAGGCTTGGGGACAGCAGATGGGCCTGCGTGGGTGAGTTCTTCTCAAAACTTGAGGGCCATTAAGCACTTCCCACTGATTTAAAAAGTGATTTTGGAGCAGGAATTTTCACAGATCCTGGGATTTTGGGAGCCCAGCTTGAGCCATCTCTGAACGTGACCATGGTAGGGCTACGTGCAGTGCGTGGAGCCAAGTTCATCCTCCAGTAATGGGTTTTGCCAAAGATTAATGGCAGATGAACACTTAAATCCCCTGGACACGTTTGAAAACCTAAAGCTCCTGGTTTAGAAATAAATACTGTTTTGACACTTTTCTTGCACTATTTGATGAAGTTTAACATCCTGTGGGGGAAAAAAAGGGTAGCCAGGTTGTTCTTTGATCAACCATGGCAACTTTTCTGTTAGTCAGTGACGTTATTCTGGATTTCTGCCAATGTAACCAGTCCAGAGTTTAGCAGAGCAACTCAGTTTTATAACCAGGTTTAGCAACTGCTAAACCTTAAGCCAGAGTTTGATATTCTAACCAACACCAAAAAGAAAGCCAACTGATTTCCCGTCATTTTAAGGCCCAGGTTTTAATGTTTCTGAAAATAAATTGCACAGCCGGCCTCACTTTCTATTTGTCATCTCCAAAACGAGCAAGAGTAATGACCTTCATTAACTAAAAATAATCTCAAACTTCAAGTGAGGAAAATGAATCTCCTCATTTAATTTTGATTCTCCAGGAGCAGAGGTTTTTTTCCAGAAGAAGGAAAGGGGAAAGATGGGGTGGGGAGGGTGTCTCCCATTTTCTCTCCTTTTTTTTTTTTTTTTTTTTTGGATAGGAGAAACTCTGTAGGTCAAGATGAGAAAATGCCTGGGTTGGGATTGCTGGGCAGAGGTGTGACTGGAACATCTAGATGGATCATAATAGTAAAAAAAGATGCAGATGAGAGGCCGTGGAGGCAGGCTGGGTGCTGATGGCTGTGTTTGTCCAGCCCTAGGTGTGGAGGAGGCGGATGCAGAGGAGGCAGCAGGGCTGGCTGGTGCCCCGGGGCTGCAGTTCCGAGGGCCCCCCCAGCTGCTCCACTTCGCCCTCGGGGCCCTGGCCGAGGATGGAGACCCCCGAGGAGAGCTCACCCTGGTGCACAGGGTTGGTGAGTGACCAGCAGGGCCCTGAGCCAGCACAGCAACCTGGGGGGATCATCCTGGGAGAGGATTTGGGGCTGGGCTGGTGGGGCTCAGCATCAGGAGGAGGGATGAGCATTAATCCTCCATCCTGCCTGTCTCCATGTTCCATCCCAAATGGGACATGTTTGAGGAGCCAGGAGGCTGCCTGGATGCTTTGGGAGGGAGGGAAGGGTGAGCAGCACAGCAAGCAGTGGCTGGGAGGCTGCTTGGAAAGCAGAGTGTCTGCTGAGCCCAGGGGCAGCAGCCACAGAGAGCTCTTCATGCCAGGGGTGAGAGGATGTCATGGCTTACTGCAGGGCACTAAATCCCTGGGGAAACTCCCTCCTAGAGCTGGGAGCATGGATCCCTGTTTACAAACCCTTTTATAACAGCTGGAGGCTTTTTGTTTAAGATATTTGCATTTTGTCTGTGTTAAAAACAACCCTGTGAAGATTCAGGTTTCCCTTGATTCTCTGGGAAAAGCCCCAACCCATCCACGTGTTGCTCAGCTCAAGTGGTGGCAAGCAGCACAGGAGCACCCACTGTCACAGGAGTGGGTGCAGAACAGCTTTGCACCCACCTGGGCTTTGCATGATTCAATCTTTCCACCCAAAGGTGGAAACTTCACAATTTTAAGAGTATTATGAGGTGAAACTCTGTGTTTGCTTTGTGCTGAGTGTTGGTGGATCACCAGGGAGGATTTCTTGGTTTTTCCTACATGTGCCCTGTGATTTTTATATAAACTCTATAATTACCCATCTGAAGACTGTGCCCTACAGGCAAAAATCAGGAGCTGGTCTTGATTTTAATAAAAAATTACCTTTTTTTTGTGAACAAAACTGTTAAGACCCTCCCAAATCATGCAGCTTCCAGCCGGACTCAACGACACCGATAACCAACTGGGAAACTGATAAATGAGATAACCACAGGCAAAATTATCAGGCCTAGAAACCACAATCAAATATTTATTGACCACTTTTTGCATGTTTTATTTATATTTAGCTACAGAAATTTGGGTATTATCAGTCACAGCTGAGTAGCTGCACTTTTTCTAATGCTCAGGATTTGCAGCATGCAGTGATTTGTGTGAAAAGGTGATGGAGAAAAGGAACTTTAAATGGTTTAGTAAGTTCTTTTGCCTCCTAAATAGTAATTTATTCCTTGTGTTTTCAGACATGGTTTTGTGCTGCTATCTGTATTATAAAAAAGCCTGCTTTAACAGTGAGCTGGTGCAAGTAATTAAATATTTTCTATAACTTGAATGAATTTTTAAGGTGGAAGCATGATGTTTTCAATGGTGGTCTGTATCCTTCTCCTGAAGTATGGGTATGTACCCTAATCCAAGTGGGAGCTGGGATTCTGAATGTCCCTGAGAACTTGGGCATTTGTTCAGCTACAGAAAAGGGAACAGTTGGGTGCTCAGACCTAGAGGAAATCTGGCCTCACACAGAAAACTTTTGGTGAAATGCAACCAGCCTGTGACTTACTGAAATAAGGCTGAAATAAGCTGCCAGCTCACTTTCAGGTGCTGTTAAAAATCCCCTTCCAAAAAGCCTCCAGCCACAGCCATTAAGCCTTAAAGGCTCTAAACTGTGTGGAGGGGATCTTCAATGCCACTGAAGTATTTTACCAGTCACTTCATTTTGCATGCCTGTCTCAATACACCCAACAAAAAGAACGTGGGGGTGGCAAGGGATAAAAGGAGGGTGGGGAAGGAGAGGGAAAAAATGCATTTTCATATCGGGTTTCCTATATAAAACTCTTCATATCCATGAAGAGAAGAGACATAATAAATGTGATTTTGCTTTGTTTTCTAGAACGCTCACACTGTATGGTTGAAAATACCACTGAACTATGTTTAACTAGCACTACATCCACTTACTGCAATCAAACAACAGGAATAGCCTAGCAAGGAGAGAAGGAAAGTCCCAAAAAATTCTTCCAGTTATATACAATATTATCAAGCATTAGGTGCAAATTCACTTTTTCAGAAGGCAAAACTCTTGCTTTTAAAAAGTAGCTCAAAGTGCTTTTGGCTGGAGAATTACAGCATTTAGGGGAGCAAATTCTGGCTGAACAGCCAGCTTTCCTTTCACTTAGAGTCAGAAACACAAAGAGGGAAATTCATGAATGCCTTTCTGCTGTGCCTTTTGTGCCGAACCGGCGGTGTTCACAGCCCAGCCATGGGTAAGAGCTTGTGGAAGCATTTTTGTCCAGCTGCTCACTCATCCCTGTGTGTTTTTTTGCTGTCAGTGTGCCTGGGTGACACGTTTGGCCAGGACTGCAGCCTGAGGTGTGAGGATTGTCTGCACGGGGGCCGCTGCAACAGCGAGCGCAGCGGCTGCGACTGCCCGCCCGGCCGGGCTGGGCTCCTCTGCAACGAGAGTGAGTGCGGGGAATGGCAGGGGGAGTGATCCTCCTGCAGGGCTCTGCCGCTGGGGAATGCGAGCAACCTCTTGTGCTCTTCATCTGTGAAGCTCCTGAAGGAGCACAGCTGTCTCATAATCGAATTTGTTGTGCTGGGGCACATTAAATAGGAGCTGTAAGTGATGCCGCAGTACACAGAGGTCCCTCCACTCCAGTGAAGGTCAGGTCAGAATCATCCCTGTCCTGAGTATTTGGTTGTTTTCATTCCTATTTGCTCTGCCGTTAAAAGCTGATGAAGTTTGCTGGCCATGCTTCATTCCACAACCTACCTTGGTGACTTCCAGAAGTCTGTCCCAGAAGTTGGTGTGCCAGTCTGGGTGGACACATATGCTAAAATTGAGTTTTTTCCATTGTAGCCTTTTAAACTTCTTTCTTATGTTTTCCATTTCTTTTTCCTTATAATTCTTTTTATTATTAGCATCACTTTCTTGGAGCAGTTAATTTTTCACATTGGAAATGGTATTTTTCAGAATTCTGGTGCCAAGTCAGTGCCCTTTATAACAGGTTTTCACTCTCCTTGCTCCTGTTTCCTGGCAGAAGATCTTTCTGATTCAGAAGTATGTGTCAAAACCCATTGGAAAGAGAGTGGTGATTTCTTGATGTGCTGTTCTTCATCTGCACTTTGGCAAAACTTGTCTGCTGCTTGTCTGAGACATCATACAGCAGATTTCCTGTTTGAGATGGGTCCCTCCATTTCGTGGTGTGTGACATGATGGCCCATCATTCTCAGGAAGTCTTTGCTGTCACTGGTGAGACAAAAAGTCGATGAAAATTTATTACTTGACATCAGTAGACAGCACTCTTCAGGTTAATTGCCATCAAGATTGTTTAGGAGACGTCATCACATGGACAGAAATGTAGAAAAATCAAGAAAGTGATTGAAACCAGCAGTCTGCCTGTGGTTATTTTGGGAGACTGATGGTGGGTTTGGTTTGTAAACTCTGGGGGCAGCTAAGAGAATAGAAATGGGGAGATTAAAAGGATAATTTCCAGTCTGTCTAAGACAGTTCAATCTGTCAAGTGAAGATATTCTTCTGTGCCTGGTGTGCTGGTAGTTCAGGATAGATTATAAAAATTTCAAGACAGTATCCAAATTCTTTAGTTCATTTCATAAATAACAACATTTATGATGGATATTTGCTCTAGACATCCATGCATATAGTCTGATGGAATTCACCTCTGGAATTTAAAGAATTTTAATAGGACTGTGTTATTGAGCTAAACCTGCTGTCTGATGAACTCAGCAGAGACAGTGATAAATACAATATCTAATCTGTATTAATTACTTATGTGTGATTGCTTTCACTCTTTTCTCTTGCATTTTTTAATATACAGCACAATTCATGGGTTTAGGGTCAGCAGGTTTAGGGCAAACTAAAACAGTGGAGAAAACTGGAGCTAAATTTCTCTAATAGTGCACCAAAGAAGCCAAATGGAAATTGATGTGAAATGTCAACTTTCTTAATGTACATTGATAAAACGTCAGTGAAGTCAGATGACTCCAGCAACTGTATCCACTCAGGCTGCAAACAGCAGAGTGAGGCTGCATCTCACAGTTTGTTTTTGCTGTTGTGGATCCATTGCTGCCATGATTACCTGGGGAGTTTCAGAAACTACATTTGAAAAACAAGATATTATTTTTATAATAGTGTTTGGGAGAGAAAAAAAGAATGTTTAAAATATTTATCTCCAAGTTTTCAAAGCTGTGCTCTGATGTTTAAGCAGTTTTCACAGAATCACAGAAACAATTAGGCTGGAAAAGACCTATGAGACTGAGTCCAGCCCATGACCCAACACCACCTTCTCAAGCAGCCCATGGCAGTGAGTGCCACATCCAGTCTCTACTTAAACACCTCCAGGGATGGTGACTCCACTACTTACCAGGGCAACCCCTTCCAATGCCCAGTCACGCTTTCTGTGAGGAAATTCCTCCTGATGTCAGACCTGAACCTCCCCTGGTGCGGCTTAAGGCTGTGTCCTCTTGCCCTGTTGCTGGCTCCCTGGGAGAGGAGATTGACCCCCACCTGGCTGCACCCTTCTCTCAGGGAATTGTAGGGAGCAATGAGGTCTCCATGAGTTTTCCAGGCTGAACACCCCCAGCTCCCTCAGCTGCTCCTCACATGGCTTGTGTCCCAGATCCTTCATCAGCCTTGCTGCCCTTCTCAGTGACCAAAGCCTTGTTTTGCTTCCTTTCCAGCAGAGGGGAAGGGTTTCTTGCTGTGTTCATGCTCCCTGCTCTCTCCACAGCCTGTCCCCCCGGGACGTTTGGCAGAGGATGTGCCGGTGTCTGCAGGTGCCAGAACGGAGGCTGGTGTGACCCTGGCACAGGGCAGTGCCACTGCCCACCCGGAGTGCTGGGCCAGCTCTGCGAGGACGGTACGGCTCCAGCTCTGCCTCAGCTCTCCACTTCTCCCCCCTTGATCCTTTATTTTGAGTAATGAGCAGAACAGAGGGTGAGAAAAGCCGGCAGCTGGCGAGGCTGCACAGAGCCCCAGCTCGGGTTTGGGGCTTTGACCTGTAGCCACTGATGCCTTCCTGTGTTTGTGCACTCCAAAGGTTGCCCAAAAGGTTTCTTTGGGAAGAACTGTAACAAGCCATGCAACTGTGCCAACAAGGGCCACTGCCACAGACTGTATGGAGCCTGCCTGTGTGACCCCGGGCTCTACGGCCGCTTCTGCCACCTCAGTAAGTCCCCGGTGCTTTTGGGATCTGCTCAATGTGGGCACAATGTGACAGGCTGCAGAAGATTCCCCATAACCTAAAGGGGGCTGGCAGAAAGGAAGGATAGTGACTTTATGCACAGTCAGGCAGTGCTAGGACAAGAAGGAATGGATTTACTAACAGTGAAGGTTTAGCTTAGATGTTAGAAAAATGTTCTTTGCTGTGAGGGTGGGCACAGGCTGCCCAGAGAAGCTGTGGCTGTTCTGACCCTGGAAATGTCCAAGGCCAGGTTGGACAGTGTTTGGAGCACCCTGGGACGGTGGAAGGTGTCACTGCCCATGGCAGGGGGTGGAAGGAGATGGGCTTTATGGGACCTTCCAACCCAAACCCTTCTGTGATAAAATGATCAAGATTTTGGGTTCTGCAGTAGTCTGGGAGTTGCAGGACAATAGGACTTTTGAGATGAGCCAAGAAGCCCCAGAAGCTTCATTAACCTTTTTCTCTAGTAATTAACCTTTGCCATAAGGGCTGAGATTTACTGATGTTCAAAGGTGAGGATTATAGCTGGGGTGAACAGGTTAACATTAGGGTTATTGCTGAGGCTGGGGTCTGGTTGGAGCTGGTTGATGGCTGCTGATGGGTTGGAGTGGGAGCAGGGAGCAGGGCTGGCTGGGACAGGATGAGGATCAGACATTAGATGGAATAAAAAGAATTAAAACAAAAACTTTGCAAAATAGATTATCGAGTTTCTTTTTACTTACTGTTTTTGTTAGTAAAATCTGTGCAAGATCAAAAATCTTTTGTTTTATTTTGTTTTGGGTTTTATTATGGAAGCTTTTGTCTTGGAGTGCAACCAAGTTGTTTTTTTTCATTCGGAAAATCAGCTGAGTTTGCTTTGAAATGTTTCTGGTTCTTGCATTCACCACGTATTGCTTGACATGAAATGAATGACCCAGCACAGGGATCATGTAAACTCTTCTTTTACCCACCCACACATGAACAGGTGCTGCAGTGGAACGGGGGTGTACTGGCTGAAAGCAAAACCAAGCTTTTGCTTCTTGCAGCAGTTGTGTTCTGCAGCAGTGAGCAACTTCAGCCAGCTCCTGCATAATTACAGAGATGATGCTTCCTTTTGTTCTGGCTGCAGCCTGTCCCAGGTGGGCCTTCGGCGCGGGCTGCTCGGAGGAGTGTCAGTGTGTGAAGGAGCACACGCTGGAGTGCAGCCCCAGGAATGGCTCCTGCACCTGCCAGCCTGGGTATCACGGCAAAAAGTGTCACAAAGGTACCATCCACAGCCAGGTTCCCCACATCTGCTCCTTCCTTTGTCCCAGTAACTTGTCCTTCTTCCTCCCATCCGCTTTGTTTGCCTGCTGCTACTACTCATATACTCGTATCCTACTAATAGTTTTGTGGGGTTTTAACCCTGCTAGGGTTGCAGAGTATTGAGGGGAATAGAGCTTAGGAATTGGAGGTGTTTCAGTCTGGTCAAATGACAACAGAAATCCAGAACCTAAATCCAAATACAGCCTTAAGTAATGAAGATCATGTGAGTTTTCATTTCTGTGCTTTTTTGACACGGTCAGTAAATAAGTGGCAAAATCTGTGTTTTATGGCAGTGGGGTGATTTGTAAACAGGTTCAGTAATGCTGCCTTTCCTTCAGATTTGCAGCTCTTTGAATTCAACTTACTCTTTGTAGCTTTTGGGGGTAGTTCAAAGAGAATTGTATCCCGCATTCATGTTTGCATGTCTCAGTAGCCCTTTCCAGACAGCAGTGGAGTAACACAATAAAGATTCTCCCTTCAGATTATCTCCGGCCAGGCAGGACTGTGTTGGATTTATGGCAGTAATTCTGGTGGGTTTGGTGGAGAGCAATAATGATAATATTTAATATTTTTATAATTCTTGTTGATGGGCTGAGTTCTGACAGGGAGCGTGCTTTGCCCAGCACTGGCTGTGCACCAAGGCAGAGAGCAGCAGAACTTAGACATCAAAGGAGAGAATTCCATAATGTATTTAATTGAATACATCCTCAAGTATTCTAATTGAATAAATCTTTAAGCATTCTATCACTCTGTTTCTGGGTTACATTTATACAGTAACCTCTTTGAAATGTAAGCATTTATTAAGTATTTACACTTTGCTAACATCTCTAAAATGTACATTGTAATATATTGTCTGCAAGTTGCTGCCAGATTATTTTCTGATTTTTGTTCACTTCTTTTAACTTTTCCTTTTTTTCTTGTTCTGTATCTGCTTCTTGTTCTGTATCTGCTTCTATTTCCAGAGTGCACTCCAGGGTTTTATGGGGCTGGTTGCAAACTGAGGTGCAGCTGTCCTCCTGATGTTCCGTGTGATCCTGAGACAGGAGCCTGCAAACATCCATGTCCAGCTGGGTTTCATGGAGAAAAATGCCATTTGTGTAGGTACTCACTGCATGTTTCCCTGGGAGATACATTTGGGATGGGAAAGCTTATTCAGGAAACAGAGGTTCAGATATAGAAGTTGCAGAAAAACAGGTACATTTGTTGTTGATACAAGCTGGCAGGTCCCCACTGAAACCAGACTGATATTTGGAGCCTGGCAAATGCTGTCTCTCTTTCTCTCTCTCTCCCTGCAAAGGTCGAGGCACAAGGCTGAGGCCAGTTACCCAAACTAACATTTGTCCAGGTAACAATAGTTCCTTGTAAACTTTCAGGCACAGATTTTGCAGGGCTCTGCTGCAGTTCATTTCAGACCACCAGTTGCTCAGACACTACTGCTAACACTGATTGCTTCTACCAGCACAGCTCAGTTTAAAATTGGTGGCTGTGGTGCCTCCTAATGTCTTCAAAATGTTCCTAACCATGACTTCGGGGTTTTTTGTCCAGCTTGTCAGCCTGGCAGCTTCGGGATGGGCTGCAGGCAGAGGTGCAGCTGTGGAGGAGCCCCATGTGATCCGAGGACAGGGCAGTGTGTTTGCCCAGCTGGGAAGACTGGTGCTACCTGTGAGCAAGGTGTGTGAGGTGCTGGACCAAGGTAGGGAGTGCCTGGCTTTGGAAGGAGTGATGGGAAAGAGAATTGGCTGTTTCCCAAAACAATAAACAGACAAACTGTGATGGAAATTGGGAGAGAGCCTTTGGTCTCTCTTTAGCTGTGTTCTTGTGTGCTGCAGGTTAATGACAGGGCTGACAGGGATGTATAACAATATAATATAACAATCCACCTCAGTGTTACTGTTATTTTAAAATTCTTCAGGGTAAGAGCAGAAATCTACAACTGTCCTGAAACAGAAAATGGCACTGGTTACACCTCGTGTGGTTTTTCTCCAGATTGCCCAGATGGCCAGTGGGGACCAGACTGCCAGAACTCCTGCGAGCCCTGCGCCAACGGGGGACAGTGCAACAGGGAAACTGGAGCCTGTGACTGCCCCCCTGGCTACACTGGGCCATCCTGCTCTGACAGTAAGTCCTTGTCTCAGCCTTCCCCAGGAAAAGAAAGTCAGATTGAAAATTCAGGTTATGGTTTGATTTCTGCCTTCTCGTTCTTTTGTGAGGTAAAGCATGCTGATCTGTGATTAAGTGCCCTTCATCTCCAGGAATTCCCCAGGTTGGATTTGACATTATTTGTGAGAGGGAGATTGCAGATAAATGCATGTGATCAGCTAAGCTGCGTCCCAAATGGATGTTATCATTAGACCTAATTTATGGGAAGCTGTACTTGGAAATACAGTATTTAACAGCCACACCACTGGTGGTGTAATTTTGGCTGTTTGGCAAGAGGTGTGACCAGCTGGCCCACGAGGCATTGTTCTTGATTTATGTTTGCAGCAGCACTCCTTGGTGTAAATCATTTAGGATTAAATAATACTGAAGATGAGGGAGCAGTATCAGTGCTATCCGGGGGAACAGTTTAGGGAACTGCTCTGTGCTGCTCCTCAGCCTCTGGGTGTTAAAAGGCTGCCTGAGCGTGGCTGTTGAGATGCACAGAGGCTCTCAGGACAGCTCTGCTTTGTACAAGACCTTGGTGGTGGCACATTTTTAATTCTTGTTAGTCATAAAGTGGCTCTGAGGAAGGTTTTCCTCCTCTGATGAAACAGCTTGATGCAAAGGACTACCTAAAAGTCATATAGGCTATTCCCACATTCCAGGACACAGCCCCAGACAGCCAGGGTGCAGATCCCAGATATTTCTGTGTTGCTGCTTTGATTCCTGGATTCAGTTAAGCCTGTTTTAGGGGGTGAGCTGTCGCTGTCTGTTTGGGAAGATGGGTCTGTGGCTGGGCTGTGAGCTGGGTGAAGTCACAGCCTGTCTCTGTTTGCAGCCTGCCCCGATGGGCACTATGGGCAGGGCTGCCTGTGGCTGTGCAGCTGTGGCAGCAGTGCTCAGTGTCACCACGTCACTGGAGAGTGCTCCTGTCCCCCGGGCTGGACTGGCCACGACTGCAAACACCGTAAGTGGGGGCACACGGGACCTCCTGGGGACTGCAGGTTTGCTCTGTTTGCTCTTAGTTTATTACAGTTTTTTAATATAGTTTTGCTAATCTTACTGCTTCTGAAACGGTGTGTTTGTGGGTTTGCACAGCCTGGGTGGTTATAATCCTTCATTATCCAGGTTCAAAGCATTGAAATAGATGGCTGATGAAGCGCAAAGTATTGATATAAGCTCTTATTTCAACACTATGGATCCCTTTGCCCAATACCATCTGTCCCGTCAGCATTTTGACTGACAGACAGTTTTGTTTTTCATTTTCAGTGCAGATTAGTTTTGAGATTAATTCTCCATTTCTCATTTTGTTTGGGGGAGATTTATTCAACAAGTGAGTGGCATGTACAGTCGTGTGTCTAAAGGTCACTTTTTAACTTGGGAATATAAATGCTGTGAAAAATTCTGTTCTCTGGAAGAGCAGAGCATCCTTCTGTTGACTTTAGTATCGCTCTCCATATTGGTGGCTGTGTGAGAGAGTAGATTTGCCCTTTTTGGATGGCACCATATAAATGTGAAGCCATCCTCCCTTTTCCTGTGACACATCTCTTCTGCTTGATTCATTGTGATGTGTCTTGCAAAACGCCAACAGAAGACAAACCTCTTTGCAAACTTGATCTTACACACATAAAATCATTTAACTAACAGTGTTGATAGCAGCAAGTTTTGCACCTGACCTCTCAGGCCCTGTACTGAAGAAAATGCTGGGAAAATCTGAAGTTTCCACTCATTTGTATATTTTAAAAATCAAACCAGTTGGTAGTGTGTAGAGCCACTGAGATGGCTTTTGATAACTGCCTGGGCTGTCTAGAGAATTGAGAGACCATGACAAAGGAAAGCTTTTATTTCTATTCAGGATAAGATCTGAGAAAAAATTGTTTTGCAGTGGTGTCTTGGTACGGCAGCTTTTCCAGCTATTGCCGACCAGGCATTAAACAGATTCCCAACTCCAGAATCAGGTTTCTGTTGCCCTAATTGGCACTTTCATCTTCATCCTTTACTCGAAAGAAAGGACATGCTGTGGTACATTGGTGTAATTGTGTCAGTGCTGTGTGATTTTAAGATAAAAGCAGTAAGTTGCTTTAACAAACATTGTGAGATTCCTTTGTGTCCATGCTGCCTTTTCCAGTATTTTGGGGAAAGCATGGAGGGTGCTCCCAAATCTGTGTGGTTAAACCCATTAACTCATTCAGGTTATGCAGATTTTTGTTGAGTGAGTCAATAGCTGGTATTTTATTTCCTTGAAATTATAGATTTGTGACTGATGGGTGTGGATTCACAGAATCACCAAGTTGGAAGTGACCTTTAAGATCGTCAAGTCCAAGCCATGCTAACACCTCAACTAAACTGTGGCACTGAGTGCCACACCCAGTCTCTTTTTAAACACACCAAATTCTGGTGATTCCACCTCCTCCCTGGGCAGATAATTCCAGAATTTTATCACTTTGGATAAAGACAAGAGTGATATCTTTATCATTCTCCAGCCACTTGAATGTGCCACTTGAATCTGCCTTCTAGAGGAACCCCTTCAAAGGTTCTCTCCCAAATTTGTCCTAAACCAGGACACATTCTTTCAGTAAAAAAAACTTTCTCCTAACTTCTAACCTAAATTTCCCTTGGCCCAGCTTATGAATGATTAGTTTTATGACTACAAATGATTAGTTTTACATGGATGGGACAATATCTGCCTGTGTCCAGCTGAAACAGACCAGCAAAATGGTCTTTATTTCCACAATTTGCGCCTGCGCTGCAGCCGGGAGTTCAGTCCCGCAGCATTTTGTGTACTCTGTGCTCTCTCACGTGGAAGTGCAGCAGGGTTTGGGGGTGGTGCTGGATGTGACCCTGTTTCCTTGGCAGCCTGCAGCAGTGGTCGATGGGGTCAGGACTGCGCCAACTCCTGCGCCTGCGACGGCGGCGACGGCGGCTGCGACCCCGCCACGGGCACCTGCTCCTGCCAGCCAGGATTCACCGGGCAGCACTGCCAGCTCAGTAAGTGCCCACCTCCCCGGCATGTGGAACTCCCAAACCCCAACTCCCAGATCCCTGGAAGTGGTGTTTTCCTGGTCGTTCCCTGCAGGAACGCTCCCAGGCTGTTCCGCCCCCGCGCTGCCCCGCGCTGCGCTCTCGTGTTTCAGCAGGGTTAAATGCTTTCCCTAATTGGATTTCCAGAAAAGGTATTTTCAGCCTTGTTTTGGATCCAGCAGCTATTTTTAGTGTTAGCATCTCTTGAGAGGGATAGGATTGATGTGTATTTGGGTTGTGGCATAAGAGTTTCCGTATTGGTTTTTTTAATTCAGTTTTAGGGCAGCACTTACCCTTTGTAAGTCTCTATTTTAGGTCAGGTATATAGAAATATTTCAGATGTACATAACAGAAGGAAAACAGGAATTTTTGGAGTCCTGTATTTATTAACAACAAAAATGTGCAACAGTCTTATCAGAGACCCATGACCCTCACCTTAACATTCACCTGTAACTGAGGTCAGTAGCAGACACTTCAAGCATATGAAAACAGGCTCATAGTCAATTTCTCATATGTCTCCCCAGGTACCATCAATTTCTAATTCAGGAGCTTCATTAGACAGAAGCAATATCTCTATATTTAATACTGCTTGATTTTTTTTTCCAATTAATGTGCCTATTTTCTTTTTCATTTCATGCAAGCATTTGGAATCCACTTCATCTTGTGGCAGTAAGTTGCATAGTTAAGCTGCTATTACTATTATTATTGATTATATTGATGTTGTTAAATAAAACAAACATTTTATCTGCTAGTTTAACAATCTTACAGTAGCACAGATGTAGCTACCAGAGTCTCAGTAGTGTGGGCAGGATTAACTGCTGGTGTCACACAGAAATGTCAAAACAATTAATCTGGAACCATGACCTAAGACAAGAAAGCCTGGAAAGTTGATCTTGCAGCCCTTGTTGCTGTTGGCACAGAGGGAATGGAAGGACAGTGTGTGGGGAGGACCAGCTCCCAGAGAAGGAGCTGCCAGCTCTGCTTCTCTTTCACTCTTGATCTCTCTCAAAATAGCATCTCTGCAGAGAGAGAGTGGCCAAATAGCTGCTTGTAATCCTCGCTGGGAAGGGAATCAGTGAATCCATCGCCACTGACAAAACATCTGGCAGGCACTAAAGTTCTTTCTGTGGGCTTTCTGTTCAATTTTGTCTGCTTTTTACCCCTTTGTGTGTGTGTGTATATATATATGTTTAAAAATGCACATATATATGTGTGTGTGCGCAAGATTACGAAAACCATAGTTCTTCCCATAATTTTATGCTGCTTTGGAGGTGAAATCTTCATTATCCCTGGATATTTCCCCTGCTCCCCAGGCATCCCTTCCTTCTCCCTGCAGGTTGGGCTCCTTCCCCTGGCAGGAGCTCAGGTTCTCTGTCGGGGTGGCTGGATCCTGACATGCATCACAGCAGCCTGTGCCTGCTGGAGCAGGGGCAGATTCTCTGTGCTGTGGACTGTGAAATCATTTGTGAAGTGCTCTGACCCTTTGCCATCACCTTGAAAAGCCTCAGCTCTGGGCTAAACACCTGAAGGGAGCTCTGCTGAGAGCCCCACACCTCTTGCTGCACTGCAGCACTATTTCTCTTGCACAGATTCTCTGACTGAAATTTCAGCTGAAAAGGAAACATGGAGAAGGATCAAGCTTTTAAGGCACAAGTGCACCTTTATGTATTTATTTGTTAAACAGTAATGTGCAGCTTTGGGAAGAGGAAGGGATTTCACCTGTAAGTGCAAAAAAATAGATTCTAACACACATTTAAACAAGGTCCCATTTTTTGACTCTTTGAAAGCAAAGAAATACTTAAGGTACCTTGCCTTTCTCCCAGATCCTCTGTAAGACACACAGTTGGCAGAGTCACTGAGCTGCAGGAGCAGCTGAATTCCTGCCAGCTCCAATCACTGCCCACCCATGGCACCAAACAAACAACACCAAACCCAGCCCCCTATTCCAGACATGGAGCTGTCTTTGAGGACTCTTGTTTTCTGTTCTCTCTGATTCCTTCCAGATTGCCTGAAAATCACTTTGTTGCTGTAAATGCTAAAATCATAGACTTCTAGAAGAGATCTGGCAATAATCTCCATAACTCATTTAGAGGGATGTTCACAAGACCTTCAAACATGACTAGAGGCCCTGTAATACTGTATTTAGCCAAGTCTATCTCTGTGTTTCAGCCTGTCCAAAATATCCAATGTGAATTAGGCAACTGGCCCTGGTCTTAATTGATTTTTCTATAATCCTGGAAGAAATTATTTTCATTCTCAAATGTTTTCTTTCTGCTGATAGTGAGTACCATGGAAATCTTTTAAAACTCCTCACATTAGCTGCTGTGGAAATGTAATTGGTAATCTGTTCCCCAGATGTAATATTTTCACTTGAATCTTTCAAAGCAGAGCATGAAAGTAAAGTGTGCAGCATTCAATTTGGAGCTTTGTGAAGGCAACCAACACATTTCATCTTTTCTCCAGCTTTCTGGGGAAAGAGGATTTGCAGGAAAACAGAGGAGCTTCTCCCCTCGCAGTTGATGAAGTCCCGGTGGAGATGTGCACATAAGCAACTCCAGACCAGTGGGCAAAGTGTCATCACGCAGAACCTGTGAAGTCTCAGGCTTTGCAATAGAAGGTGTTAGTTTTCTGTGCAGAATTTGGTCTTTCAACACTCTGGAATTTTTCTAAAATAGATCTTAAATGTAGCCCAACTTACCTGAACCTCAAGGGGAACACTCAAATCCTAGTTTTAAGCCGTTACCTTTACACCTAGATTATTTTTTAAATAGTCAGATTTCCCATGCATGTAAAAATTCCCCATTGATCCCGGATCTGCTCGGGCATTAAGCCATCCTCTGGTTGTGATTCCTGTGCTGCAGGGTGCCCCGAGGGGAGCTTTGGCCCGGGCTGTGAGTCCAGCTGTCAGTGCCAGAACGGAGCTGCCTGCGACCACGTCAGTGGAGCCTGCACCTGCACGGCGGGCTGGACAGGAACCTTCTGTGAAAAAGGTACTGCTGCTGCCCCTGGCCCCTCTAGAATTCATGGGGAATTTGTCTGCTTTTTATTCAGAGAACAGCTTTTACAACTGACAACATTGGATCTAAATGAACCACTGAACTTTATTGCAAGCCGATCCTGAAATGTGAACTCCCCTCCTAACTCAGCAGAGCATCGTGCTGGGTGCCAAATGTTGGGCACGTGTTTTCACATGGTTAAAATTAGATATATGCTTAAGGCTTCTGCTTTATGAGTCTTTGGGAAGACTCTTTTCAAGCAGGGTCCCACTATTTGAGCACTGAGCAGGGAAAAGCTTGTTCAGCCTTATGCTTGCTTGTTTCCAGTGCCTCCCTGAAGCGATTTCGAGAAAAATGTGGATGTGTGCATCATCCCTGTAGAACTCTTTAAGAACAGATTCACTTCTGACTTAAATCCAATTCTATTCTATCTAATCTTCTATCACCTAGTCGTTTGGTAAGGTGTTGGAAAGGTTGGACCGGATTCTTTAGCTACATGTTGGTGAGTCAGTCCGTGGCATTATCACAGGAGGCTGCTGTTGTGCTGCATCATTTTGCAGATTTTTTTGTATAAAAAAATACAAGAGAAACAACACAGGGCCATTCAGACGCTGTAAAAGTTAAGTGTAGGTGATTGAAGATTCTGCAAATTATGGTATTTGAACCAAAGTCACAACTATTTTGCATGGAAAGCAGCTTTATCAGCCAGTTTCAGCAGTGAGGATGGAGGGAAGTGACAGCACTTGCAGGCAGCTGCTGCCCTCTCATGGGAAGGAAGAAGCTCCACAGCCTGACCAGACTGTGACAAGGCACCCACAGGTTGGAGTTCATATTCCTTCTTGTTGTTTCCCTCTCTCTCATATCAGGCACTATTATAAAAAATAAATATTCTTTCCAAGGTTCTGCTGCGAATTGCACCTTGTAATTCATGGTGTCTCCACTATGTCCCTTTTTAATACAATTTAGCTAAAATCTAAATCTACTGGGTTTTTTTAAATTATTGTGTTTTTATTGGGAAAAAAAATGAGGCAGTTATCTGTGTTGTTGTATAAATCTCTTTATTCCAGCAGGAATTGTAATGGGAACAAAGAGGCTAAACATCCTTTGCCAGAATAGGTGTGAGGAATATGCAGAAGACTGGGGGAATCTATTGGTGGAAAAAACAAATCTCAGTTTTCAAATGAGTCATGTCGGACATTTTAATCTTTTTTTTTTTAATTCCTGAAAGAAGATTGTGGAGGGGAGAGTGAAATTTAGGGATCTGTAAAACATCCTTTTCCGTGTGTTTTCTCTCAGGAAGGCAGAGTGTTTGCTCTCAGCTGACCGGGGTTACCTCTTAACTTAGGAAGTTTCAACCAGAACAGTTTGGCAGCTTCCAAAAGGCACCGAGGGAGGAGAACATGTGGGTGGTTTGCCCTTGGTAGAACCTTCTTGGCACCTTCTCTCGGAGGAGCTGCAGCGCTTCTGTTTGGAGTGACTGGGAGACTGGCAGGGTTTCCTTCTGGCAGGGATGTGCTTTTTGCCGTCCTCTTGGCAATCCACCCACGTTGGCCAGGCTCTGTGCCTTGCAGGCAGGAATTCACATTGGGCTCTGGCTGCCTTGGACTTCAAACATCCTGCTGAAGCCTCAGCCCGTGGCTGGGAAGGACCGCTCTGTCATCACAGAAATGTTGAAACTGAGACTTTTGCACCCTTCTAAGTTTGAGGTCCTGGAAGAAGACAGTCCCTCACAAAATGGGATTTTGATTGATATTAATAATTAATATAACCCCTGCACAGCAAGGGTGTTTGAACCTGCAGTCGTTGCTTTTGGTGTTTTGCATTGTGGCAGCACGGGATCTGGATTCGAGCTGAGACTGCAGAAATCCTCAAATATGCCTTCAGATCTTTGGTTTTCATTTGGGGAAAGTTTCTTCCCATTTTGGTGGGAAGCTGCTGTTTCTTTTCATTAATTTTCTGCCCTCAGTGTGAATTAAGGCTTCATAGGCTTAGGTACCCTTTTGCAAAACACCACTTCAGTGACCATTTCCAAGCTTATTTGCCACAAATTTCCATAATCTCTTATTAATATTTATTAGAATTGTCAATGCAATCTTAGTCCTTGCTGAATCTGAATGTATCTATATAATCTGTCAGTAACACAGATAACAGCCAAAGCCACACCATCATCATCATCATCACCCAGCAGCACAGGACAGTTTTCAAGCTCACTCATAGCAGGAGACACTTTTGCTCCAGGGCTGCTGTTTCATGAGACCTTGCTGTGAATTATTCAGGAGCTGACTGAACTTCTGTGCTCTGAGCCACAGGATGCTGACAAAAGACCTCACACTCTACAAAGTACTTTTGTCTGTCCATCAGCATCTCAGTTCTGCTCTGCCCTGAGTCACCTTTGATCAGCTGCTCTTCATCTGGTACCACTCAGTGGTGCTGCTGCCTCTGCAGTTGTGCTGTGGTCACATATAATAATGATGGGGAAGAATAAAGCCATCAAGACACTCTCTGAAAGAAAATTAGACATTTCTGAAGGTGCTACATGCCTGCTCCATCTTTCAGCCCTGCTCAGTGCTTTGTGAAAATGAACCTTGTGAATCTTGTGAGTCTTTCAAAGGAGTTTCAAAAGCAGCAAAACGGTTTCAGTTGCAGACTAGGTAACGATTGCAAATAAGGCTGAAAACAAAATAATCTACAAAGAAATTATTTCAGTCTGTGAGAGCAATCGAGGAAAGGCTTCCTTTGAATTTTCTTGAAAGCAGCAAGTGATACAAGCAGAACACTGATGAAATAATGTATGTTTCTTCACAAGGTCTCACATTACCAAAGGAAAATGAATAATTTTTGGTGGATGCTGCTAACAGTGCCACCAGCCAGCTTCCATATGTGAGTGGCAAAAAAAGGGACAAAAGAGCCCAACAGTGGAAGATGTACACAGAGAACTCACTGGGAATGTTCAAGGCCAGGCTGGATGGGGCCTGGAGCAGCAGTGGAAGCTGTCCCTGCCCTGATGGCAGATGATCTTTAAGGTCCCTTTCAACCCAAACCATTCTTGGATGACACCAGTGTTACTCTGACCTGGCAGAGAGCTGTGAATTAGTGGAGGGTTGTGGTCAGTGTAGATGGTGGTAATCATTGTAAGATTCTCTTGGGAATCCATTCATTCTGATATCCTGGTAGAAGTGTGAGGATTGGATTTTAAATAAGAGTTTATATTGAACAAGGACGACAGAGAAATAAGTTTTACTGAACTGGTGCTTATTTTACTGAATTTACTGCTTATTTTACTGAATTACTGCTTATTTTGTGAGCATCATCACCCCTGAGGTTGATTCAGGGATTCTGTGGAAAGAATGATGTACAGTAGTGTATCTATAGATCTGTCATTACTTAGTGCTACATAATATACTGTACTGTGTGATATAATATATGCACTTATATAATCTAAACACACGCACAGATGTTAAATTAAGGCTACATGGAGAATATATTTTAAAACTCTGCATAGCAGCCTTAGTGTTCCTGTAATGCAGCATTTGGGGTGTGATGTGGCCCACTGACAAGCACTGATCCTTATTTTCTGCTACAGGTAAAAATTGAGTCCATGGAGCTGCTCTTCCTTAGTCCAGGTTCAGTTCCAGATGTAGGTGCAGAGTTTCTTCAGCTCCCTGGGGTTGTTTTGTTATGTTTAATTTGTCTTGGTTTTCTCTGCTCCTTCACTTTGCCAGTTTTTCATTCCAGCACTGAACTGCACCTCTGTGGCAGTGGGTTCACTGTTCAAGAAGCTTTAGAAAAGTGTCAGGACAGTAAATGGGAGCAGAAGTTTTGCATTTCCAGAGGAAGGGAAGTCAGCAGGGATGGCCCTGGAGTCTTGTGTTACGTTGATTTATTTCCTCTGTCCATTAGAAAGGCACAAGGAACAGCTTGTGTGAACCCAGCTCCATTCTCTCCCTTGTTTTATGGCTTTTCAATATCCTCAGCCCTGTTTTCCTGTGCAGGAATCTGTTGCTTGTGTAAAAGGGTCACATTTTTCCAAGATGCACTGTAGCAGAACTGGGCAGGCTTAACCCTTGATATGACTTCAGTTCTTAAGCATCTGTGAAAAGACGAGATGGAGTTTGTGCAGAAAAAAAAAAAGGCAGGAACCGTGCTAAAAAAGGAATGTTTTGCCTTTCCAGCATGTCCAGACGGATTCTTTGGGATTGACTGCCACCAGGTGTGCAAGTGCAAGAATGCTGCTGGCTGTGACCACGTGCTGGGCTCCTGCCACTGCCTGCCAGGCTGGCAGGGGGAGAGCTGCGAGCAGCGTAAGTGCACCCTGCTCCCACACCCCAACCCTCCCTGGGATGGGATACTGCCTGCCAGGGCACACTTCCAGACAGGTCACCTTCCTTCCCAAACGTGCCAAAAAATGGAACAATTTCTAGTGGCTGTGTAAAATCACCAGCTCTTTTTAATGGTGTTTTTTTTTTAACTCATCAAACGTGATAAACATCAGGTTTTAAATAGCAGAGCTGTCTCCTGCCATATGACAGCTCCCTGCTTTTTATTTTTGTGTGACATTAAGAGATTAAATGTTGTGTATCTGTTTCTGGTGTATCTCATCTAATTATCAATTATAAAGTGTCAGATTACAAATGTACAAAGTGGAAAAATCAGACATGGGACTATTTTGTTATTTAAGCATGACAAAATAGTTTTTTTAAATAATTACTAGGGAAGTTATTTGCTTTAAAATAAATTTCAGCTTCCTAGTTGTTCACAAGTGTGAATTATCCCACAATTTTTAAGCTAACAAAGTGCTTGTATGTATATATATATCAAATTGGCTATTCTGAGAAATTTTTCATTGCATTTCATGGGAAATGAGGTCATTTTCTTTAGCTGCATGGCACTACATATAGAGATCACTGAGCCTATTTGCAAAGTTTAGCAAATAAGTGGGCTTTTTTAAGATTTTCAGGTTTTAGCTTCTCAGTTCCTTGTTTTCCTTTAGGATGATGTCATGGTCTAAGCTTCCTTTTGAAAATATGAGTGCTGTCTGCAGGACTGGGGTGTAGAGCTGGGCTCCAGGGCAGCTTCACAGCGAGCCAGCTCTGTGAGGGAACACTTCTTTCATCCACAGGTCATGGCTTTCTGCAATAGAAAAGTGGTTTACTTTAGAAAATAGAGAGCAATATGGCTTGTATTGAGGCAATGCTGCTCTTCAGCCATACACTATTTTATCATCAGCCCTGTTTGAGGGCACTGCTTGCTCTTCCTAATATTTTCCCCCATCTTCTGAGAAGGCTTCTCCTGCAAAATTCCCTGCTTTTTTGTTTACAGGTGGGTCAGTTTTGCTGAATCTTCCCCATTTTAGACAGTTTTCCTTACATCCCACCACTGCAGTTTTTGCCTCCTCATGCCCTCCCAGAGGAACACTTGGCCCTCCACCTCCCACGACCTGAAGGTGTGGTGGTAGCACAGCCTTTGAGTGTAGATCAGTGGAGTGAGCACAGAACAGAAGCAGACCAGAGTCACTTTTCCATCCCACAGGTCAGAAGAGGTGCTGCTGGACAGGTGCAATATTTGCTCCTTGGTCACAGCCCATTTTTCCTGTCCAGCCACAATGTTGGCAGTGTGTCACCTTGCCCCTTTCCCAATTCTTAACATTAGGGATGGGAAGCTTTGCTCTATATTTCATTAAATTCAATTAAGAGTTGCAGCTCCTTCACCATGGCCTCTGGTGCCCTGCTTTACTTGCATTAGGGAAAAAAAATCCTATTCATTGTCTTGTGCCAGAGCCATTAGAGCTTTGTGCTGGGCTGATTTATTCCTCCTGCTGTGAAGGTGCCAAAGCCCCCAAGACCTCCATGAGTGAGAGAGAGAGGTCAGCTAACAGTGCAGGGTGTCTTCTCCTTTCCTCTTGGCTAAGTGAGGGATCTTCATTTTAATTTTACACCTGGGCCTCATCCATGCTTGTTCAGAGCAAGGCAGCTCAGGGTGGGAGAGAGCTCAGCACTCCCCATCCTCCCAGGGTGTTTAATATTCACCTTGCCTGTTCCTGGGACCCACCAGCTCCAGCAGCTGGAAGGACAGCACTCGTGTGGAAGTAATCAGATTGCAGGCAATGTGCTGGAGGATATTGAGGAATAATTTTGGCATCATGGGATTTGAATTGATCCTAAGCCAGCCATGCAGTGAGTTTTATACTCTGCTATCTAATTACAGGCAGTATGGACAGTGATGCCTTTTGTTGAAGCTGCCTAATGCTTTCCATTACCAGACCGTGGGTTTCAGTTGTTTGAAAATGAATTATGTTAATCTGGGCTGAAATCTGCCAAGCAAGCTCTGCCTCAGCTTCAGTTTGTGCTTGGAGATTTTATTTGGGGATTTTTTTTGAGTGTCCACCTGAGGTATTTTACGTTTCCAAGAAAGAGGCTTAGGAAAAGTATGTTGCCTGTTATTTTTTGTTGTTTGTTGGTTTTTGTTGAGTTGTTTTAATGAACTGTTTCACTGAGTGCTGTGATATCTCAGTGATACAGAAGTGAGGAATTGACATTTGGCATTTCTTTGTGATAGAGATGTAACCTTCCTTTCTGGATACCCCATCTCTGGAAGTGTTCAAGGCCAGGTTGGATGGAAGGGGCAGCCTGATCATAACAGGGATCCCTGTTCATGACAGGGGGGTTGAAAATTGATGATCTTTAGGGCCCCTTCCAACCCAAACCATTCTGATTCACTGCAAATTCATCCAAAGTTTGCAAACTTAAAAAAAAAGCCAACCAAATCCTACAAAAAAATCTCATGCTACATATGGTCTGTAGCAGATGTACACAATTCAACATCTGAATTTTGCCTTAATTCTGTCAGTACTAAACATGCCTCTTTCTGGAGCTCTTGGAGCTCAGCAAATCTTCACTGAAGTGGCTCCTTGGGGTAAAAAAGAGACCACACTGGTTTGAAAAATAAATAGCTACAGAAAAATTTGCTCAGCCAGAGGAACTGATAACAGGGGTTTGACATTTCGTGGTGTGTGAGCACTTGAATTTGCAGATCCCCTGTTCTTTTAAAGCTAAAGCTTCATTTTGTGGAGAATAATCCATTAAAGTCACTTGAAACCAAAGCTACTGGACACCCTATAGAACATTAGAGCCATTATTTTCCTTTTCTCCTGGGCAGTTTTGATGGCTGTTGACTTCTAGTCTGGAAGAAAAGTCTCCAGTTTCATTTGTTCCTTCCTCTGCATGTAAAAGGGGTTTTAAAGACTGCAAACAAATAAATCCACCTCTTGCAGAGGCAAGACAACAAGAGGAAGATTTTGAATCAGGAAAAAAATCTATTCATTTAAACCTTTAGATTAAGTGATCTTCTCTCACGTGAAGAAGGAAGGGATATTTGTACATTCAGTTTTGGAACTCCATGAAATAGCTTCAGTGTATCAATTTTTCCCTAAATCTTCAGAAAAGTACTTTGCAAATCATGATTGTCCCACCAGGAATCAAAAGAACATTTGTGTCTACCCAGTAGAATAGTTAAAATTTTCTTCTCCACAAATTTCTGCATTCTTACCAGAATTTTCACTGAAACACTCTATTGTCTTTTTGGTAAGTGTAACAAGAGCTTTGCACACATGCTCCAAAAACCTCCCACAAACCACTGGTAACCAGTCAGGGGATCTGGTGATGAGCTGGTTTTTCCTTTGGCTTGGTTGTGCTATAGTTCTGGTCTGTATTGTGGAAATATTTAGTTCTGCTCCCAAAACCCGAGCCAGAGCTCTGTAGATGTGCTGAACTTTTCACTTGGCAACCAAGCTTCATTTGCAGAACAAACTTTTAGCTGTGATGGGATTGAGCTCCTGCTCTTTCTTGTGGTTTCAACATGGATGGGGTCCAAGTGATGACAAGAACGAGCAGAGTAGAAAAGAAGTCCAGGGAGAAATGGTGTCTGAGAACCAGGCTGGGAAGCTGGAAGCCTTTCTGACATGGAGAGAAAAGGGCTGAGAATGGGTCAGAGACTGTCAACCAAGTTCACCTCCAAGATCAAGGTGGTTTCACACCTCCCTTCTGTCTCCAGGGACTTGTTTTCTCATAGCACTGCATCATGTTCACTGACACCATGAAAGGCAAAGAAGTTTGGGTGAAAATTCAGTTTGGCTGTGAAACCTGGAAGATGTCATATTCAGTGAATGCAGGACACTCTCCTGGATCAAGGATCCAGGCTTTTTTTGCCTTCCCAGTGCATGCCAGAGGTGCTACAGGGATGAGAGGCTCTGACAGGAGCCCTTGCAATGCAGAACAAAAACCATGCAAGGAGGCGATCCAGCTCCATCAACCCTCTTTGTATTAGTTTGGGTGTTATCTGAGGAAAACAGGGTAGCAGAACTGTCTGTTCTCCACCATCCAAAGCTGTCCAAATCTCCAGTGCAATGGAGACTGCAGGAATTTTATCACTGCCATTTTTCACAGGCAGCAGCACTGAAAGCGGAGCGTTTGCTTACCAGATGACTGCGTTAAGTTTTCACCTGGGAGCCAGCTGCTTAACCAAACCCATTGAAAATATCACCCCTCTCTGACCAAAGAATGAGAGTCTGGGTGAGCAGAGGCACCCAGCTGTGAAAAATGAACACTGAAAACAATGAAGTTGTCAGTTCTCTTACCAGGATGCAAATAAATACCGGGTCTGTCAGGCTGGCAGTTCTGCTGGACCATTAGTTTAGCACAAAGACCTTCTGCAGAGCAGGGGATGACAGCTGATCCATCACCCCCAGTGATCCAGCCCCTCGATAGAAACCTCTTCAGGATGGGCTGTGATACATATTTTTAACCCACATTATTATGTTAGGCTTTTATAAGACACATTATCTCTAAACTGCAGAGTGTTGCAGAGCAGTTTCAGTTTATGTGATCTCAATACAGAACATTTTTTTTAAATGCCTTTTGCAGTTTATGTGTTGGCTGCTATTGTGGACTTAGCAGTTCTGAGTTAACAGTTGAACTTGATGATCTTAAAGGTGTTTTCAAACCTAAATGATTCTAACCTAAATTATTATTGCTTCTAGAGTCAGACATGGTTAATATAGGGAGTTTTATATATAAATATATATTTCCGGGGATGGTGAAGTCACCGTTCTTTGTAGTGTTCAAAAAACAAGTAGACACAGCACTTTGTGTTTTGGTTTAAGGATCATGATGGGTTTTGGCCAGAGGTTGGACTGATGATCTTGAAGATCTTTTCCAACCTTAATATTCCATGATTTTATATGGACTTAGGCACCCTTATGAAGTGGAAAGTGTCACTGGAGCACAGCTCCAACCTGATTTCCCTGGCACTGTGTTGTGCTCTGTGATTCCTGATGGGGTTTTATGGAATTCTGTCGTTGCAGCCTGCCAGGAGAACAGCTATGGGCCGGGCTGCAGGAGCACTTGTCACTGTCACAACGGAGCCCTCTGTCACCACGTAACTGGGACGTGCCTCTGTAGCCCAGGCTGGAAAGGAGCCACCTGCCAAGAAGGTACAGTTGGAAATTCAAATCCCTGCCTACGGATTATAGGGGGGAAAAATAAAACCTGTGTTTGGGGAAAGCTCACTGGTATTTTAGCTCTCAGCTCGTTGCCCTGTGTTGTTGTTGGGTTTGGATCTGCAGTGACGTGAATTGATCCATTAAATTAATCCATGACATTGTGTTGTAGGATCCCAAAGTGCACAGGGCAGAGGGGTGAAACAGCCATAAATGGAAAGAGCTGATTTTGAAGGCTGATGAACGGAGAAAAGGTCCATAAAACTCCCAATTATGACGCTGAAATGAAGCTCTGTTTCTTTTCTATGGGCTGCTTTACTGTCCCATGCACCAGACTGATCCTCGGCATTACCTTGTGCTGTTCCAGACAGAGCCTAAATCCAGACCATGTGAAAGGCATTGAGCCTTCCAGCCTTGGCAATCAGACCCATACGTGAGGCTTAAGCACAAGCCCAGCTCCACAGAGCCTTAAGAAGAGGCTGGCAAAGAAAGGCTGCGCTGCACATCCTAATCCATGCATCCCAGGCAGCAGGAAAAGTCTGTCCATCCCAGCTGCAGAAGCTCCTTGTCCTGTGCCTTCCCCACAAGGTGTCCCTGGGGTGGCAGCAGTACCATGGAGCTGGGAATGCTGCTGTGGCTGCTCCTTGGTGAGCAAGGATTGCTAGGGAAAGGGGATGAAAGTGGAAGGGGTGCAGTGATAATTAAATTTAGCACATTCCCCTTTTAAAACTTCATTTGAATTTTTAAATCCTTCCATAAAGGATTTAAAATTTGGGAAGGCACCAAACTGTTCTTGATGACATGTACCTAAATTTTTGTTTTGTCTGAAGGCCATAAATACAAAACCAAAATGAAAGTTACAGAAGCTTTTTCAAACACACCTTTTCTCTTCAAATGCACGTTTGGGGATTTCTTTTTTCTTTGAAGTGAGGAGGCAAAATAATTGTGTGAGGCTTGGGGAGCCATCCTCTGGTGCCAGTGCTTTTTCAAAGTGACAGCTTGCCCCTGTTTCCATCTTAAAGAATTGTCACTCCAGCACATGGTAGAGTTATGTGGTTTTTTGCCAAAAAATTAGGCTCTATCGATAGAAACTGGTTGTAGTAGGAATTAATAGACTTCCCTAATTAAAATTAGGTAAATGGTGAAATGTCATCAGCCAGATGTGGGCAGCAAGATCAGCTAGAGAAGGAGCTATGATTTTAAGTGGACTGTACAAATAAATTCTGAGAAGAGGGAAGTCAAGAACTGCACTCCCCAGTGCTGAGCAAGCTGGAAGGAGCAAAAAAATATGTTTTGTAGGTACAAATAGAAAGTCTCAAGGTTATTTGGTGGGTCACTAATTCACTTCACCACCTACTGAGTTCCAAGACCAGCTTTACAATGATCAGAGTAATTCCTTACTGGTTGCATCCCCATTTCTGTTTGGTTGCACCTCCCACAGCACCTTCCAGAAGGGCTGGAAGGTGGGAGAGCTGATGTTGAACCTGTGTCCTTCTCCTGCACCTCCTGATGGAAGGTTTTCCCTGCCTCCCTTCGCAGCCTGTCCCCCGGGGTGGCACGGAGCAAACTGCCTGCAGCGCTGCCTCTGCCACGGCCAGGCCACCTGCGACCCTGTGAGCGGCCAGTGCCAGTGTCCCCAGGGCTGGACAGGGACAGCCTGTGAGCTGGGTGAGTCCCACCACCCCCTCCAGCCCTCCAGCACCTCGGTTCAGTCACTCTGGAAGGAAGCTCAGTTGTGCTGGGGTCTGGTTTGAGACGATCTGGAGGAAAAAGGGTGGAAAACACCAGGTGGGGAGAAGTTTAAAACAAAAAATGGGGTTGTTTAGTCAGAAATGAGAAGGCTGAGGGAGGACGTGATGTTGGAACTTGAACATATCTGAGGTGCTGGAAACTTGCTGCAGAGGAGAGGAATAGTCTATTCTTTGTCCCTTGCAAACAGGGAAGACAGGTAATGAGCTCCACTTAAGGAGAAAGAAAGAAATGCTTAAAGAGGAAAATGGTGTATTTCTAGAGACTTTTCTTAAAGGAGGCTTCAAAATTTCCTTCACTGGTGGTTTTTAAGCCCAGTTTAGGGGGGCTCATCATATTGCAGAGGCATGAGGGAGTTCCTGCTGGGGTTGCTCCAGCCTGGCCCCCCATCATCCTCCCCATCCCATTTCAGAGTGTGGGGATGGGCAGTTTGGAGAGAGCTGTGAGCAGAACTGCAGCTGTCACCACGGGGTGTGTGACCAGCCCTCAGGGAAGTGCCTCTGCCATGCTGGCTGGACCGGGGACCGCTGTGATGTTGGTAAGGGCAGCTCCTTCTCCAAATCCTTCATTTGAACTATCAGCCATTTCTGCCAATTTTCTATCTTAAATTTCCAGTATTCTGAATGCCAGTCAGGATTTATGCCCTCTCACCCCATCTCAGACCCACAGGCAGGTCTCTTCCCAGCCATGCCCTTGTCCAAATAATTTTACCTCCTCCCACCTCTGTTCCCTGCCTGCTAAGAAAATGAAGGTATTTCTCTACCTTACACACAGAAGGAAGAACACAGGAAAGGGAGGGAATTTTAAGGAGAATTTTCTAGATCATCCACCTGCTGCTGGGTCTCTGTGGGTCATTGATGGGAGCTCAGCAAACTGGACTGTGATGGTTCAGACAGTTCAGATCTGGAACACGACCCAGATATGACACAGCTGTTTGGCATGCTTAGAGCCATCTGAATCCCTGAAATAGGGATTAAATCTTGCACACAGGTGGCTTAAAACATGCTTTCAGCTCAGCCACTGAGGTGCTGTGCTTTTAGCAAGCCACAAGCAGCTTCCTGAGGTCTCCTGAGGTGCTGAGGTCTCACAAAGCCTCATCCACCAGTGCAACCTATAAAGTCTTCTGAATGCCCACCTCCCTTTCTCTGTGGTCACTTTGCAGGGACCTGGGAGGTGGAAGCAGTTCATGGGCACAGTTCCACTGCTCAAAGAGCTGTCTCTGTGTGCATAGTTGTGTCAAAGCAAACAGCATCACCCTGTCCATGGACCCTGTCAGGATTTACACTCCAGGCTGTGACTCAGTCTTTGCAAACTTTCCTGTGCACACTCACTAGCAGCCAGCATTAAACACATGTAATATTTTTAATATCTTCACTGATATTTTCTGGCCATGCAGTCTGCTAAATATCCTCCTGAGCAGGAGCTCCGGTAGGGAGGATCCTGGCTGGTGGCAGTGAAGGCTGCTCCCCAGGCAGCAGGTTGCAGTAAACAGGACTCCTGTACAACAAACCAATATGATTAAGCAAAAGCCATTTATTGTTTAGATTATACCATATTTATACATTCTACAAACTACTGCACGTGCTAATTGATTGTGCTTCTGTCTTGTCCACGTGTTCTGCATGCACTTCTCAGAGTATTGGTTACAATCCAGGTGCTTCATAACCCTCTGTTATTTAGATCTTTCGGTCTTGGTATTCCATTTCTCAGCCTCTTCTTCCTTAATTTAGCACAATTTATGTCCTAGTAACCTTGACAAATTCCTGAGGGCACTGACAAGAATAACTAGAAGCAGCCTGGCTGCCGCACACTGTGGCCTGAACCTTGCAAACGCATTGCCACAGCAGGTAGAACGTTGCTCTCTCTGCCTGCCCCCAGGCTGCCCCCCGGGATTTTTCGGCAAGGGCTGCGAGGAGCGGTGTGACTGCGCCCACGGCTGGTCCTGCCACCCCCAGACCGGAGCCTGTCACTGCCACAGGGGGTGGCGAGGGAGGCACTGTGACAAACGTGAGTGATGAGGGGAGCAGCTCGGCTTGGGGTGTACGTCCCCCAAACCCGGAGCTCTCGTGGCTGGGGGTTTTCACACCCTCGTTCCGCGGGGTTGGGGTGGAGGTGCTCACAGGGATGGGTGCATGGAGGGGCTGGCTGTGGAGATTTTGTGGGGTTTTTTTGTTAAGGTTGGGATTAAATGTGTGAGACGGTATTTCTTGTTCGGATTAAATGTTTGTTAGCTTTTTATTTATATTATAGTTTTACAAATCGTGACTTTTGCAGTATTTTATTTTGATAAATTAAAAATGGAGTTGTATTTTATAAGGTTTTTCTAAGGATAAACTGTCTAATTAAGAAATTATACTTAAATTATTGTTTTAACTTAATAACTAACTGCTTGTGGTTTGTAATGTGCACTTTTTTATCTAATTACATAATACCCATGAAGAAGAAGGTGAAGAATGACTACCTTCTGCCCCAAAACATCTATCTTGCTTCATATATAATATATACTATATATAATATTATTTATACTACTATTTATATTTATAGTAGTATAAATCTACTATATAGATTATATATATTGTCATATATAGATATATATAAAATATATATTCAATATATACTACGTTCTAAATATATTGTACACTATCTATTACTGTATTCTAAAACTTTATATCTTAAAACTTTAAACTCTTTAGTTTTTCACCCTGTGATACTACGCACTTCTATTCAAACTACACACTCATAATCCCAGTTCCATCATTCCATTTTGGAAGCCTTCCCCACGGCCTCAGGCCGAACGCAGTGCTCTCTTGGCGGTCAGTGCCTGTCAGCGCACAAAGTCTGAAACTCTCAGTGGATTCAGGGAACCCTCAGCAATTTCAGGGTTCCAGCAGGTGGCTTTGTCCCTTCTGCTGGCCCTGACGGGTTGGTGTCCCCCGCAGCCTGCCTGCCGGGCCGCTACGGCGCGGGGTGCGCGCGGCGGTGCCGCTGCCCCGCGGGAAGGCCCTGCCACCACCTGACGGGCGCCTGCGGATGTCCCCCGGGATTCACCGGCCACGGCTGCCACAAGAGTGAGTTCCTTGTCACAGCACAAATGCTTCCCTTGTCAGTTCCTTCGTTTGTTGAATCAGGACGCGGTGATGTAGCGCCTGAAGAGGGAGGAGACAACAACGTGATGGGAGGGAAGATGGCCAAGGCTGTTTGTTCCTCACCCAGCTCTGAGCTCTGTTTGGGCTGCTGGGGTTTGCCCTCTCTGTGTTTGCAGATGTTGGGCTGGCAGGGAGCAGCCAGGGGCTGAACTGGGCCCAAATAAACTGAGGATGTGCCAGTGGAGCGCTGCCCTGCCCACAGCCAGTAAAGCAGCAGCTCTTCTGTTGGCCTTGTCCTTGCGCTAGGCTATCCCTGCTCTCAGAGCTCATGGAAGGGACATTTTCTGGCTTCTCTTAGCATGGAGTTTTGTCCCCTAGAGCTGTATTTGGAAGCAGGCTCCTGTTTTGACCCCAACTGCAACACCCTGATTTTGTTCCTCCCTCCAAAAGTTTGCCTGAGCCCTGTTTTAGTCAAAGGAGAGCCAGCAATAAATAAGAATTGAAAGGACTGACATCCGTGTCCATTATCCTCCACCAGAGGACTCTAAATGCTGACCCACAACCAGGGCAGCTTAATGGAAATGAGATGTAAGAATTAAATGTGGAAGGTCCAAAACCTGTAGGCAATGTGGCTGTCAGCAGGCAGAATGAAACCTGTTGATGTTGATGTTTCAGCAGCTTTGCAAGTTTAAACTCTCTGCAAAGGTAGAATGTCTTTATCCACACGCCTGGTCCCTTGGGAATTATACTGTTATTTTAGTCAATTTCTCCTGACATTTCCCTATGATTTTTTTTCTAGTGACAAGAAAATTGTATCTGGCCCTTGACAGTTGGGCACAAATTGACTGAACAAAACAAAATCAAGCATTCAAGTAACCCCCAAGTAAATGCAATAAATCCAGAGTCCCGGAGGAGAGCGTCATTCCGTAGGCAGGGATTTTATTTAATAAATTTCAGCCCGCTCTTTGTTTGAGCACTGTATTTACCAAGACAAATTTAATTTATTGGTTTGCATTTCTTCTTCCCAAAGCTTGTCCAGCGGGCACGTATGGGCAGGACTGTCACGGAGTGTGCCAGTGCTCTGCTGAGAATCAGGAATGTCACCCTGTCACTGGCCACTGCTCCTGCAGCCCGGGCTACCGTGGGACCCACTGCCACCTCCGTGAGTATTCTGGGGGATTTCTGCCTTTCTGACAGAGAACTGAGTCTTGCAGAAAGCACGTGCTGGAGCTTTGGGTTCATCTGTGTCAATGCAGTGGTGATTGAGAGAAGTAGAGCCTAATTATAGTATAAAAGTTATAGTATTACAAATAAGTTATAGTATAGGACGTAAGCATAGGATGGGTTAATTTACACTAAAGAAAAGTACTTGTATTATTGCAAGGAATTAATTTTAATTTTTTTTTAATTTAAAAAATTCTAAAAAATTAATTAATAATGTTAGTTCAGAAATATAATTAATCCAGTCCTTCAACTTAATTTTAGACCCACCAGATTTACCGGCTAAATTCTTTCCAATCTCATGTCACGCTAAAGAATGTAAAGATCATTCTCTGCATTGCATCTCTCAGCTACACCTGGATTTTGTGCAGCTCTCTCATTTCCAAATACCAAGTCCAAAATACTTCCCGAAATCTCTGCGTGCTCAAGTAAGGACAAATGGTTATGAGAAAACAACAAGCTGAAATTGGCAATAAATCCAAGTGATTCATAAAGTCCTTTCAGTTACAGAGCCTTCTGAGGAACAATCAAATTAAACCAACTGTTACTCTGGATTGAAAAATGGTGACTAGTGTAGAGGACAAAATGCCAACTGGCCCAATGCTCCATCATAAAAAAATATTCCCAGATCCACATGGCTCATGCCGGTATTTTAGGACATCTGTAAAGTTGTTTTTGGTGGAATGTGGCAACTGATAAGAAACATATACCAAAGCAGCCAATAAAGGAGACTCTTAATTACTCTTTTATTTACAACTTTAATTTTGGTTCTACTCTACGGCTTGTAGTAGTCTCATTTAGAGGAGAAAAAAAAGGCAAAAAAAGAAAAAGCTGTTTCTTTCTTGCTCAGTTTTTCTCTCTTTGGAGAGTGCTGATTTCCCTTTCTTGGGAATCTAGCACAGCTCTGTTTGGCTTAATTGCTTTTTGGGGTGACAGTTTGGATACAAAAGCCAGCATGTGTCACATGCACAGCTCTAGTAAGGGTTAAACCACTGTTGTATTCCTTGAGCAGAAATAGGAGAAAGGCTTGCTTTAGAGATGGGTTTTTGTATTGCCATCACGTCATCACAAGTTATTCTTTAAAATATAAATTATAAATAAAATACAAAGGATTGATTCTGTCCTCCTCTGTGCATCAGTTTTTGCTGTAAGTGAGATCGAAATCTGGCCTTCAACATTGGGGCTGGAGCCATCTGGATCCATTATACATTAGATTATAATAAATGTTGTAGTAAAGCAGCAGTGGAGATCAACTATTTAACAGGATCATTTTAAAAGACTTAATCATGGTCAGCCTTTATGTAGCAATTTCTCAGTAGTCATTACCCATGCGTGTAGCACTAAATCTCTCATTACAGTAAACGTCCTCAAACTTGCTTAGATACTTCAGGTTTTATTTCAGAATTTTAAAATTTAAAGCTTAAGCAATTTCACTGAAGTTCTGATAGAGAAGATATAAAAATACTCATTGCAAAATAAAATGTGTTTTTCTGCATTCAGGGGGGATTTTTGCCATGAATTTCTGTGTAGCTGGGATTAAGCCTAAAACATACGAGATTTGAGATTTCATGGTGTTTTGTACTCTGAGGTTCCAAAAATGTACAGAAAATTCTTAAACACAGGTTTGTTAGATATTTATTGGAGAAATAATGAAATTATGGAAGTTCACAGAAAAATACTCATCTGTGTTGGTGTTGTTCCTATTGTCCCCTCTGCCAGACACAAAAATAAGAAGGAAAACAGTTAATTGTGGGTTATTTTAAGTTCAGGGCAGTGGAGGGAGAGACTGTGGGCCTGATTCTGAAGTCACTGACTGAAAACCAAGGGTGGCTTGCGTGATTTTGGTGGGAATACTCCAAGTTCCTGCTGTCCTCCCTGCAGGGAAAGCTGGGGCTGCTCCAGGGTGAAGAAGCTCTGATAGAATATTAAACCAGCCCAGGGAGCCGCTCCCAAACGGGCTCTGGTCCAGTCAACATGTGGTTGGATGCTGCTGGAAACAGTTTCTGGCAACTGTTGCTGTATTTATGAAAAAAAGGTTCAAGAAAGTATCTATAAAAGGTGTAGTTGGCTGGGAAGTCAAATTTCCAGGAGCCAAGAGCAACGGGGCTTTCATGTTCACAAATTTTGGAGTGAGGAGCTGAAAAAGTCTCTTGGCATGGTGCGGAGGAAGCAGACAAACTAGCAATAAGGTTCCCATCACTTGTCCATTACTTGGTGGATGGGCAGATCTACTTGTTAAAAGGAGTAAAAAGCAGTAAGTGGTGGTGAAATTATTTTTTAAAAAAAAGCATGGTATGTTTCTGTGACATTGACTGGGCTGGGAGTACCCAGAGCCAGAAAGATCTCCCCTGCTTCACCCTCAAGCTGAAAGTGACAGGATGTGTCAGAAGGGATTATTCGACAATGTGATTTAATAGCATTGGTCAGAAAAGCCTCAGTGTGTGCAATTGCTATGGAAAGATTTAGGAGCTCTTGGTCATGACAAACCCACTCAAAGCAGGAGGAAAATCAGGAAATGAGGTGGAAATCTGGCTGCCACTCTTTTGTTCACAGAAAAAGAAACATAAGTCAGAAGCACAGGAAACTGTTAAATTAGAAAATGTCTTTATGAGATAACTGGTGGTGCAAGAATAGCCCTCTTTCCAAAGGCAGAGCCTACCAAAATGGTGGGACATGGTGCAAATTGCCCTCGTTATCTGCATCAAAATTCTTCTGCAAAGTACTAACAGATGAGGTGGCCTTGTTATTGGGCATGTGCACGGTGCAGCAGCTGAACATGCCCTGCATGTGCTGCTCCTTCTCGAGCCAAAATACAGGAAATACTGCAAGGACAAAGAATTTGGGAAGGAGGGAATTACTGCATCCCGTTTATGGAGCCACTTCTGCTAGGCTTGAGCTAAGGAACAGCTCTGAAAGCTTTGCCAGGGAGAAGCAGCATTTTTTGGAGTCTGGGAGACAGATTTTTTTTTTTAAAGGAGAAAATCCAAATTATGACCAAAAGGAAAAGAAGGAGGAAAAGAGAAACTCACATAGACCAATTAAATCATTGAATCTGGATGAGTTCTTAACTTCAGGTCTTGGTGGGAATGAAGGGGGTGTTGCAGGGCTCACTCCTTGATGCCAGGGCTTGCACGTGAAGGAGGTTTTGCATCCTGGCAGATGGAAGCACTGATGACAGAGCATTCATTGAGCAGAATCTGTGTTTGGGAAGGGCTGGGGAGAGTATCTGCACATTATAAAAGCATGTATCTGCTTAGTCCTGATGATCTGCTATCCTGGTGTTTGAGCAGAGGCCAACATTCAGTTTTGTTTAAAAAGGCACCCCTTCAAAGCTTCCCATAAGCTCTCCCTCACTGTTGAATAGTTCAGAAAAGCCAGAGATTTCTCCAGCCACTCAGGCCCTGCTTTCGTGCCTTTAGGAAAGACAGAATACATGAAGTTATTTATGCACAGATTGCAAGGGATCTGTTGCTTGGAGACGTGAGCAAATATATTTTCAACCAGGTTTCTAAAGTAGCCACAGACTTTCCTTCTGCCAGGGAAGAGAAGGAAGGGGTGAGCAAAGAAATGACATTTAGAGTTAGTAGCACAAGTGGAACTGTTGGATGATGATCATGCTGCTTGAGCACCAGCTACTCCTTCTTCCACTGCACTGAAAAATTAGGAGAATAACCTGTGTTTCCAGAGTTCAGAGGTGGCACACTGGAGGTTCACTGGTGCCCATGCCCAGCAGCTCTGCCCAGCTCTTCCCCTCTGTTCCAGCCTCCATCACTAAAGATCACCCAGAAGATGTAAACTAAGCTAGCAAATGCATTTACATCTTCCTGATCTTTTGTTCAATTCTCCTTGAACATTAGCTGTCCAAAAAGTAACCAGAAATCCTCTCTACCCCTGGGAAACCTCTCTATAGACAGTTTGTTGCCATGTAACACTGGCTCAGCAATCCATCCAGGTGTGGTGATTTTGTGGTTCTTACAAAAGCTTTTTTTTTGCCTCAGAGAATTTTCTGGCTTTTCATTTAAATAATGTTCCTCCCATATCTATCTTCTAAGGAGGTGTCTTCTGAAATTCTGTGTTGCTGTCATGTGAACATTTTCGTGGTCTTCCATCCACAGGGTTGGAAGGGAGCTAAAAGCCCATCCAGTTCCAGCCCACCTTCCACCTTCCATGTTGCTCCAAGCCCTGTCCAACCTGGTTCTGGACATTTCCAGGGATGGGGAATCCACAGCCTCTCAGGGGAACCACTAACAATGCCAGCTCCAGTTTGCAGGGAAGGAGTAGATTATAGAGGAAAGAAACTTTCTCCAATTTACACATTTTAAGAAGACATGACCTACCCCACATCCATGAGACAGCTGCTAAAAGAGGCAGAAATGGCTCACAGCTTCTCACTGACTTGGACAAACCAGGTGGCTGCTGCCCAAAGGAAGAGTCACTCCATCTCTCCTGTGTAGGAGAGGAAGGGGGAATACATTCATGTGGAACAGAAATCCCAAGAGGAAAACCTCTGTAGAACTGTGCTTGCTTTTCCTGCTACTGTCACATAAGGAGAATGGGAGAGCAGAGAGCCAGGAGCAGCAGCACTCAGCCCAACTCTCCAGCATTTGACAGTGCAATCAGAGCTGTCCCAAGGGCACTTTGTCCAAGGGAGCTACCTGCCCCTCAATGCCTACTACTGGTCCTCTGGAAGTGAATAACATTAGAAAATGAAAATCAAACTTTGATTGAAAGCAACAAAGTGCTTAAGACATGAAATGCAACGGGCCCAGTAGCAACCTAACCTAATTGCTGGGTATTTTTTCTTTTAAAACAGGGTGTCCAGAAGGTACTTACGGTTCAAACTGCCAAAATCCCTGTAAATGCATGAATGGAGGCCACTGTGACCCCGTGTCAGGAACTTGTGATTGCGCTCCCGGTTTCATCGGAGCCAACTGCAGCAAAAGTAAGCCAACATTCATGTTCTGCTTCTGTCAAAACACAGCAAAGAGAAGCATTTGCATAAGAGCTTGTCTGAAGAAAAACAGACAGATCCCAGCTACCTCTTCCTTGAATTGTAAATCAGGATTCCAGCTTTGTAAAAAAATCTCTTGCAAAATATTTTCCCTCACTGCTGCATGCATAGAAGCAAGGACGCTTACCCCAGGATTGCAACCTGCTTGCCCAAGTTTATTTCTAGAGCCAGCTCAGCATGAATTGCTCAAGTTCCTTCTTCCTGTCCAAAATTTCCAGGTTGAGAAATTATCTCAATATTTTGCTTCACACTATGGTGCCATTAGTTTCAATAAATGGGAAAAAGATCAAGTTTTGTCATGGCAAAACTGGTAATGACTCCATGGCAACCCTACTGTTACTTCTGTTTCAGAGCTAAATGGTGTGGCTGAATTTCTGTGCTGCTTCCAAAGCTCTGGTCTCTGTGAAGTTCTCTTCAGCTTATTCACAGAAAGGCAATTTTGAATGTTTGGCTGCTCATAGCTTTGCTCTTCAATGCTGGGCAGCATCAGTATTAAGGAAGGAAAGATGTTTTAAGCTGGAAGGATGAGCAGCTGATATTTCACTCTTCTGATAGGAAAGACAGTAAATATTCCATGTGAAATCATGGGTTACATTTATAATCACAAGTAGTCTCAGAAGGTAAAGCAGTCGTGTCTTTGGGTGAGTTTTGGCTTCGTGGTTGATGCTTTGAAGCACTTTGGGGGGAATACAAACAAAGCCAGCTCTTCCCCTAAGATTGTAGCTATGTTAAAAATTAAAACCGCCGTTGGATCCTGTGAGTGTTTAACAAATGCTGTGTTCCCTGCAGCCTGCCCTGAGAGCTGGTATGGGAAAGACTGTGCCCAGCTCTGTGCCTGTGGCAGAGGCCAGTGTGACCCACGGACTGGCGAGTGCTCCTGTGCCCCCGGCCACACGGGCCCTGCCTGCCAGCAAGGTAACAAAGCAGGACCAGGTCACCTCGCCAGTGGGTGACACACTTGAAATACCCAGCAAATAAACTCAGTGCCAGGCATTGTTCATAGCCACGTTGCCCAGGGTATTTGCTGATAAGGCTGAAGTTTGGGGCCTCTGTCCCTCCCCGCTCCATCACCCAGCCTAATCCTGCCCACACCTCCCTGCCACCCTCTGGGGCACTGGGTTCTCCAGGAAACTGAGGGGTTATGTCAGGACAGAGTGTTTGGGTGACACTGATAAAAATCGTGGTGTAGTGTCCCACCACCCTAGGGAGACCCTAATCATTTGGGATACATGTGGGGAGCATGTCTTTGTATTTATTCCCTGTCACCTTCATCCTTTCCCTGGGATGCTAATTTTTGGGTTTTTTTCAAACTTTGTTAATTCTCTGTAGTGTGTCCCCAGGGACAATATGGCCCCAACTGCCACCTGAGGTGTACCTGTCAGAATGGTGGCATCTGTGACCACGTGGATGGCAACTGCACCTGCGGGCTCGGCTGGACAGGAAGATCCTGTGAAGAAGGTGATTTCCTGCTTCGATGGCAGTGGATTTGTACATTCAAACTGAGGTTTGCAGTGTCCCCAGACAACCACAGACAAGGACAAACAGTCTCACAACTGCCTCTAGAGCTTCATGTCTTTTTTCAAAGACAGTTTCCTCCTGAGTCCTGCTCATGGATTCCCTTGTACATTCCTTATTTCTTCTTCACTCTGTTATTTCTTCTCCAGTCCATCTTTTGTATTCTTTTGTTCATAGGAATGCTGGGTTTTGTCTTTCTTCTTCCATGTGATCCTCAGAGCAGGAGAAGCCTCTGTCTTCCTCCTCACTGGTTGTGTTCTCTTTCATTTGACTCTGAACTGGAGCTGACTTCCCATGTGTTGACTTCCCAGATGTTCTGACAACATCTGTCCAAAGCAATTTGTACTGTCCTGCTCTCTCACCCTTATTCTCCATGACACCTGTCCCTTGTGCAAGACAAAGCACGCTAAAAGAATAAGCTCATATCCTACTCCAGAATCTCTCTTGTCAGCCCAGTCTTCCCACAACTGTCCTGTCCATCTCCAAAAAACCATTCTGCATTTCTGTGCTCCTATTTTTCACTGTAGGTAAGAGATATCTGTATAGTTACGTACTTGATTGTTCAGGAAACCGTAAGTTTACTGCTATGGAATATAAATAAATAGTTCTAAGTACACATTCAACACAAATGTCATCATTAAATCATAACTGCCATGGCTCAATCTCCCAGATTCTCATTTACAGCACTTCTCTCCCTGTCACCTCAAATATTCACCTCAAACTCCATATGTATCTATACCAAGAGCTGGTTGTTACAGGGTTATGTCCCTATATATAAGTGACATCTAGAAATGCCACTTTTTAGCAGCATTCTGAGATGCAGTTGTTCCACTCTCCACCTGAGGAGACTCAGAGTCCTGCTGTGCATCTGTGTGCAGAGGAGGAGCAGGGAGGAAGGGAAAGATGCAGCTGCACACAGTGTGAGTGCTCTGAGGATTCAGTGGCAGTGAACGTTCTCTGGGCACAGGCTCTTAAACATTCGCAGTTAACCAATATCTGGGTGACCTAGCAAAGGCCACCTGTGGTCACCTCCATTTGCCTGCTCCTGTAGTCACCCATAGGCTGAGTTGGGGCTGCCAAGGCTTAGCAGGTGTCCCCACATGGAGTAGTGGATTGTGGGTGTATCTCATAGATAAAACATCTCTGGAGTGGAGCACAGGTGGCAGACATTCACACACTGTATAAGGAACTGTGTGTTGCATCACTAGAGAGAGCTTCACTATTTATATTTTGACAGAGGGAGTGAAATTATTGGAAAATTGAGTCTTGATCTCCACAGCAGTGTGGGTTTGAGTGTGTTGTGACTGGAAATCAAAGACAGCTAATCAGGCATCCTTTTAATAGAGATTAGATATGATGTTCCTGGAAGATCCTGTCTGGCATTTGCAGGGTTTTCAATCTGATTATTTGGACGGCCACGCTCGTTTAAGTTTGTCTGCCCAGATTCAAATTATCCCAGCAGTGGGAAGTTAACTTATTCAGAGATGATGCTGAGGTTAATTATATTGGCACAGTCCCTTCTGCATGACTTGGCTTTCAGTAATTTGAGATGTGTTTAGTTCTGTAAAAGCAGATAGCTCATTATACATGGACAGACTGTTGCTATGTGTGAAAAAGATCCTCCTGGTTTTATTAGGAATTCAAATAGTGTGAACTCCAATGATAACACAGAGGAGGAAAAGCTTCGTGTTTTCTTTCACACTTTTTAAGTGCCTAAAAGAAAATATTGCTGTAGATAAAGAAAGAAAAAAGAAAACCTAATTTATGCCATTCACTACAAGGCTTTACAACACACGGTGCGGGTTCAGCATCGAGTCTGTGAAGAGAGAAATTGAAAAAGGCAGACTGTTAAAACTGGGGAAATTGCTGTTCAGACATCTATATAACATAAAAGGTTTTTCACCAAAGTATGTAAATGCATCATAGTTGTGCAGAAATCCTGTGTCTTCACAACAAATATTCTTTGGTCTGCAAATTATTCTCTGGGTATCATCTCTTGGCGATGCAATCTATCACATATGAGCTTTTCTGGGTGAGGGCAGTGATTATTTGTTTGATTGTTTGTCTGTTTTTCTCTCCATGTCCTGCCAGCAGAGTGCCTCCCAGGAAAGTATGGGGCTGGCTGCTCCCTGGACTGCCTGTGCCAGCACAATGGCACCTGTGACAGGTTCACAGGGTGCTGCAGGTGCCCCGAGGGTTTCTACGGCCACTCCTGTGAGCACAGTAAGTGGAAGCACTCAGGGTCACAGGTTTGGGGCTTCAGAGGAGTCAGGAAACACCTGAGTCATGTTCAGTTAAAATTTTGGGGACATCTCAGATCATCCAGCTCCTTCCAGATCTTGCATGTCTCTGATGCTGGGTGGTACAACTTCAAAAGCCCATGTCATTATTAGAGTTAAGGAAAATATCATTTTTTTGTTGGCTGCCAGCAAATGTCACAGAGAATACAGAGGATTTTAATGGTGTGTATGATTTTCTCCATGAACCTTCTTCATTTTAATCTTTCAGGGTGCCCCCTGGGATTTTATGGGCTGGGCTGTCTTCAGGCCTGTGCCTGTAAAAATGGAGCAAGCTGTGATGCAGTGACAGGACAGTGCCTTTGTCCTTTGGGTTATCATGGTATCCACTGTGAAAAAGGTACTGGTACACCTCTGATGGGAAAGAAAAAAGAAAAAGAAAAAAAAAAACTGAAAAGAAAGACAAACACAAAAAAAAACCAAACAAACAAACAAAAAAAAACCAAAACCAAAAGCAGAACTCAAAAAAAAAAAAAAAACTGAAAAGAAAGACAAACACAAAAACAAACAAACAAACAAACAAACAAAAACCCCCAAAAGCAGAACTCAAAAAACCTCATATAATTACTGAAATATTTGTTGAGAGCCACTTCTTCCATATTTTGAGCTTAATGAATATCCTGAAACACGGAATTTGGGACAGATTTCCTGTTATACACCTGGGTGTTCCCACTCCCTTATAAATTAACTAATCTGGTTCCAATTAATACAGTGAAAGTCCTGGTCTCCATGATGTCTTGCAGCAATGAGTTCCACATGCCATTTATTAAAAATAAGTCCCTTTTACTGATTCTAAATTTGCTTCTAAAACTCCAAATAAGATAATTAAATAGGTGCATGACAATCCTTTTGAGTGTTATGGAGGGGTCTTCTTGAGAGTTCTAATTAAAAATAAAAAATAAGTGCCAGCTACATTTCTGGGACAGATTTACAGCTACCTCTGAGAAGTTAGATTAGACAACCTCAACAGAAGGACAGCTCATATAAATATTGTGCCCATTCCACTATGTTTGATTTCTTCATTAAGCTTGGCATTTACACTGATTTCATTCATGAGCTCTCCCCTGAGACATCCTGAGAAAACTCTGGGTTTAATGTACATCTTGCCATTCAGACATGTATCTAAATTGTTCTCTTGCTGTCAGGCTGTGCCAGGGGCTGGTTTGGTGAGGGGTGCCAGCATCAGTGTGACTGTGGAGATGCTCCTTGTGATCCAGAGAGTGGGAAGTGCCTTTGCCCACCTGGGAAGACTGGAGACAAATGTGACATTGGTAAGGGTAATATTTTTAAGGGCTGGACTGTGTATTGTTAAATCACTCTGCCCTGTTGGTTTCAGAATAACTGTAAAAGGACATTTGCTGGTGTTCAAGAACACGTTGTTTGTAGAAAATTGCTCTTTGTGGTTATCAACACCTTTATCAGCATGCTTGTACCTCTTGATTTAATCAATATTTAAATTGATATCCTGATAGGAAAACTGTTCATGGGTCAGCTGTAAAATGTCATTTGCCTTGAGTTTTGGAGAGCACAGGCTGGGGAATAATAGGCCAAGTTTTGCAAATGTAGTGGGGAAGACTCCAGAGGGTGCAGTTGGACACCAAGGGCTCCAGCTGCTGTGTGCTTTGTCACACTGACATTTGTGACCCTTTTCAGACCAATGCTCAAGTGTGTCCAGCTCTGGATTTGCTTCCCCTGGAAGCAGGATGGAGTCCCCACAGATGAGGGCGTGGAGCTGCAGCAGCTGTGCTTGCCCAGGAACTTTTAACCCAAATGTAATTCCCTCCTTTGCAGCACAGGCACTTGGGCTGTGTGTTGGCCCACAGGAGCAGAATTCTTCTGTAACAAGGATATAAAAATAGGTGAGAAATTTTTCCTGTAGGGAAAACCAGCCCTGCTGCTGTACCCTGGTGGGGTTGGGTGCAGGGTTGAGGGGCAGCAGTGGCAGATTCCTGAGCCAGGCTCTGGTCACAGCTATGACTCTGATCAGAGCTCAGGGCCAGGCTGGACAGGGCTTGGAGCAACCTGGTCTGGTGAAAAGTGTCCCATGCCTGTGGCTGGAACCACATGGGTTTAAAGACCCCTTCTAACCCAAGCTATTTTAGGATTCTGTGATTATGATGGAGCAGCTTTAGGGTAATCACTGGAGTGAAAGGAATTGTGGTGGTTTAACTCTGCATTTGTGATCCCAGTGCTGTGACAAACAAGGTAAAAGGGATGAACATCCATGTGCTACTGTAGAGCTTCACCAGGAACCAAAATCCCCCTGAGCTCCTGGAGCAGAGGGGGAAAATTATTTCTCCTTTTGTTCTAGGATGGGGCAGAAGTAGATTTAAGCAGGCTGTTATTAATACAAATTGCTGTGAACTTAAGCATTAGTGCAACTTGCAAAACTGAAATGGAAAAGCATTTGATTCCCTCAGGGCAGTGTCCTGTGGTCAGGAAATGAAGCTCCCAGTCTCCAGCACTGTCCCAGTGGGAACATGAGCCACCCTCAGTGCCCACACAGTCCTGGGTGTCCCTGGGCCTTTCCAGTAAAACTTTAGGCAGAAGTGGAACACAAGGGGGAAGTTAAGCACCAAAAATGGGAATTGAGGTTTTCTTCCTCACAAACTCTGTGAGTCATTTTTATTTTTCTTAAATCAGCTAGGGTAGCCCCCATCCACGAAAAGCTGTTATGGGGTAGGTTTTATTTGCATTTTTATTTTCAATTAGGCTCAGTTCATCTGTGATATAACTGTGAGCAGCTGTGACTGTGCAGCAGCCATAAAGATAAAAGGCCTGATTTTAATTTGAACTCTGGTAAAGCACCCATTAAACAGGCAAAATGTTAATTAAAAAAAAAAAGAGAGAGAGAGAGAATATAACAGACTTTTATGGGCGTTCTTTTTCTGTAGTAAATTAACATTGCAGACTTTCAAACAGATGTCTTAAATACACATTGTTATTAACATGAAAATGTGGTATTACATAAATTAAAATCAGGTCCAGAGGTGTTTGGGGAGACCTTTTCTCATAACATGTCCTAATTGAAAAGGCCAAGCTTGGAGCACACAGGGCGAGTTCTCCCACGTGCTGGGGCTGCAGCTGATGCAGGGCTCAGCAGGACTTTATTTGCCTGAGGGTGCTCGTGGGAGAAGGCAAATTCCCTGCATACAGGGTTTTCAGTGAAGTGAGGGAGAGCGGGCCATTGTTGGCTGTGTGTTTTGTGTTTTACACCCTGCCTTGTGACCCTGCTGCTCACTTTCTTATCCTGCCTGTCCTCTGATGCTTAAGAAATTGCAGTGAGGATTTACCAGCCTAGCTATGAAATGTATTTGCATTTGGAAGTGAGATTTTTTTTTTTTGTGAGTTTAGTTTGCCAGGATGCAGCAGAATTGTGCAACCAGAGCAAGACATGAGTATCAATAAAATGAATTAATTCTCAGAGTCACATTCTGTGAGGGAAGGCTCTTGCCCAGCACGTACTGACAGCCCAGCCATGCAGGACAGGAGATAGTGTGGATCCAGGATGCTGACAGCAACTTTCCTGAGCAGATCCCAAGATGTTCTCTGTTGGGCTGTCAACCCCTGTTTTTACACCAGCAATGATTTCCATTCTGGGAACTCTTCAGGACAGCTGGGCTGCAGCTTGGGCAGAGCATGTGGCAGACGAAACTTGACAGCAGCCGCGCTTTCCCAAATGTCATGTTTGAACGTGAACAGATGTAGGTGTCTGAGCAGCTTCCTGATCCCACTGAAGGGGGAGGCTGCCAGGAGTGCTCACCCTGTCCCCAACCCTCCTGTCCTTGCAGGGTGCAGGGCAGACAGGTACGGCCCCGGCTGCTCCCTGCGGTGCCAGTGCTCCGGCAGATCCCGCTGCAACCCCCACAACGGGAACTGCGCCTGCCCCAGCCCCTGGATGGGGCCAACCTGCAGAGAAGGTAACCAGCCTGGGGTGCAGCCTTTCCTGGAGGGATAAAACACCTCTGGCCCGTGTTTGGATGGGAGGGTCAACCCGTTGGATTGTTTGGATAATTTCTGTTAATGACATACTGTACGGAAGAAAAGTTTCCTCTCACTTGTAGTGTAACCACAATTCCTCCTTTAGTTTAGGAAAAACTTCGGGAACCTTCTGATTTGGAGGTGTTTTATAGTTTTCCTGCTCTCTGCCTCTGTGAGGAGGCTGCTGTAACTCCCTCCTTTACCTTCTTTTCAAGGTTACCATTTATTGAATTATTTAAGTGTAAATTGTATAATCTATATAATATTTCAGTATTAGGTTATATGGACCTGAAACCATGTTTCTACTTAATTCTCTAGGTGGCCCTCCAAAGCTTCCTTTTTATGAAGAACAAGCTCAAGAAAGAGGGAGTATTTTTCCAAGAGCTCTACAACAGTAACATTTGGACTAATAAATGAACTGTTTTATATGCACAGACGGTATTTGAATTTGGATATGAAAACAGTTATTCAATTCAGCTTGAATTGTACTGAAGTATTCACACTTCTTATGGAAGACTACAGAGGCCATTTAGTAGCTGGATCCTTTTAAAGAGTTGAATCTGTTTCATGTGCTCATTCCTAGCCTCTTGCCCCTCCATTAATCTACTCTGGACATTCTTTCTGGTATTAATATAATTCATTTCTTGAAAGCCTGGACATGTTTTTAATCAGACCAGCTCCAAAGAGTATCAGGATAAGCAGCATGTAACACATCACCATGGAATGAGCCACACTCCCTATCGGGGACTTTCTAAACCCTCTTGACAACCAGCACCAAGTTTGAAGAGTATTCCACAGATTATTTCTCTACAGATTCATTGCAAAATCACATTGCACAGAAACTAGAGGGATTCGTCAAGTTAATTCCTCTTCGAATGAGAAGCATGCAGTCTAATTTTGAACTTGCAGCTGAAGAAGAATCTGCTACAATCCCACAAGAGTCCTCAATACATTGTTAATTTATTAAGAGCATCTTCTGTATTTCTGGTGTGGTTTGACTGACTGGAAGGTCTCTGTCTGAATCTGTCTTCCGAAGAGTGTGGTGACATCTGCCAGACTCTCCTGGCATCCTGTGTTCTCACATCTTACCAGATGAATTTCTCAGTGGGTTGTCAAGCCAAACTGTGCAGCACTTCTCATCAGACAGTATCTGCTAATGCAGAAGAGGTTTTATCTTGAATGGAGAAAGCAGATAGTAAGCAAGGAGAAATGCTTAAAGATACTGTCTTTGGGGTTTGTGCTTTTATTGAGCAATTTGGCTTTTTTATCAAGTCATCTCACAACAGTCCTGATACCACTCAACAGCTGCTGTTGAATGAAAAACCTCATAGAGCACAGGCATTTTGGTGCTATTTTGTCTGTTTAGACAGGTTTTCTTTGATGTAGAGCTATGTCATTTTAAAGAAATGTACGTTCTGTATTTTAATATTCTGTTAACCAGAACTAAAATATTTCAGAGTGCCTCTTTATACCTCTCTTTAGGTTAGGAGTTACAAAATCTGTGTAGTAACCACTTGATTCTGACTGTTTCCAAAGTGCATTTAAGAAGGAGCATCAGAACCATGGTAGATCCAGAGTATGGGCAGTTCCAGCTCTTGTGCTGATCCTCCATTCACCACCAGAACAAAGTGCACCTCTGCAAGAGCAGGTTTTTGTTTTGCAAGAGACAAAATGACAATAATTGATGCTAACTTGGGATTTTTGAAGAAGTTTGTTGCTGTGGTTGGGTAGGTGATGAGCTGGTGAAGCAGGATGCAGGAGGTTGGATGGGAAGGTGAGGTAACAATTTTCCTCCACGGTTCACCCCAGGTCTTAAACACATCTGCAGTCAGTGACTGTCCAGGCCAAAGCAAGAGGCACTTGCTCCCCTGGGAGTTTATTTCAAATTGTGATCTATGGGAGGCAATACAGTTTTAAGAGGTGTTTTCCAAGCTCCATGGAAGTCTTACTGTTGTTATTCATCACTTTGTAGGTATTGAAAGTACAGGTATTTGTGAATGTGTCTAAGTTAATTAACTAACTGTGCTTTCAGCCGGAAAATCACTGGAGCTGATGCTGATCCCTTTTAATTTCTTCTGTAGAGCTCAATGAATGTCACTGGAAAGTTCATTCAATGTAAATGTGGCAAAATTATGGTCCCAGAAGCGTGTGACTCTCAGCAAGGCAATGACATTTTAAATGTTCTTTTGGAGGTATGATGGCCTGGGTCTGATCCTACAATTATGTGAATTTGGGGCAGTTTCACTGGCCAGGAACCTGCAAGGTTTTTTTTTCTGATCTCTAATCAGAATTTCTTCAGTTTCATCTTTGTTCCACTGCTTCTCGTTATTTCAGTGTGGATCTCTGAGGAGCCTTTGGCTTCTTCTCCCCCATGGGGTAGTTGGCTACAGACTTGGTCTTCTCTTCACCCCATCCACTGGCCACATTCCAGTACCTCAGACATTCCAGTTCCTTCCAGCTGCCCAGAGACTGGTGTGGTTACTCAGCAGCATAAAACCCTTTACACTGCTGTCAGACAGCAGAATGTATCAAATGTACTGTTATTCTCTTATTTTTGTAGATTGATGTGTGATTCGAGCAGCTAATCAAAGGGGAAACCTCTCTCAAGCCATATTATTTACACCCATGTATACTTGTTTACATTTTCCACAGTACCTTGATAATAGAATTGTAAATATGTAGTATAAGGAAATAAAAGATTTTTGTATTACGTGTTTTTAAAGGATGTCACGATTTTAGGTACATGATGAAACACATCTTTTAAATGACTGATACTGAGCCTGTGCCAATGAATTAAGAGGCCCAAGTAGATCTGCTTTGGGAAATATTTCAGCAAACTTTTTTTATATCAAAAAATGCCAGTTCATACAAACCACTCCATATGCAGTAGACTTTTTTATTCAAAATGCTTCTTAGCTTCTTTATGTTATTACCTTTGGAAAAGAAGTTTACTTCAGTGCCATCAAACAGACCATTCTGATTTGTGGCTCTGCATGGCTTTTTATTCCAAAACAAAGTACAGCCATATAGAGGTAAAAATCAGAATTAAAGATTTCAAAAGCATTAAAAGAGGAATTTTGACTGAGATACTTGGAATATCTTATATTGGTTCTTATTTTTTTTCATAAGGCAGAGAAAATGTTTACAGGATTTTGTTTTCTAGAACAGTCACAACTTTACATTATTAACTACTAATTAAGGAAGTTTCCTTGCTTCTGATATTACTGTTCTGATTCTGCTCCTTACTACAGTTTAACACATTTACCTAATTCCTTGCCTACAAAGTAGTCTTTATTAATAGACAGGATGGAATTTTTTAATGGAAAACTGACTAAATCAGCTTTTCCAGAGATTAATTTTGTGGCAAGTGAGTGTAATTGCTATTAATTAACACAACTCTGCTTATTTGCTTCATCAGATTCCAGTGAAAGAGTGTCAGGCTGATCCAGTCCTGAGCACAGCACTGGGGCTTCTTGAAAATGGAAGTGAAAAATTCAGTGAAAATGGGGTTTATAGTTAAATTGATGTCCATCTTCCTCTTGGTGGAGGCCTTTGCTGGCTCCCCATTTCCCAGGGGGCTGAAGTTAATTACATTTCCTTGAAGAGAGAGCTCTGTGTATTCCTCTGCAGCACACTTGCACGTGCAGATAACTCCTTTCAGAAAGACATTGGAATTATTTCAGCCATGCAGTTCCTGTGCCAAATCCCCCTCTCTTACCTTGTGAGCTCCAGATAACTTCAGCTGGAGTGGGAAGGAGTTGAGTGTAACTCAGTGGGCCCAGCAGAACCTCACTCACTGTGAATTCATGAAACCAGAACAACATGTTTTAAGTTAGACTTCACTAACACTATCCTCATAGGAAAACAATCAGAATTTTAAAAATTCCCCGCTTCCCCTGCCAAAAATTATTATTCTACTTTTATCCTTTTTATGTTGAAGAACCATAGCTATTAAAGTTTGCCCAGATTCCTTGCCAACCATATTATTTTGATTGGCTGCAGGTTTCTGTTTGTGTAAGTAATAACCAGCATAGTGTCAGGAGTTGCCAACGGGACAAACATGGAAATAATACCTTCATGTCCTTCCCAGAAGAGGCAAAGACACATTTGGGAGCCATCGTGGCTTCATTGTGCAGATCAAACAGTGACTCTGTTAGAATTTAGCTTCTTATCAGAGCAAAGTAAAGCTTAGGAACAATCTTTGAGAGTGCTGGTGGACTGAGAAGCCTCCATCCTCCCATCCTTGTGTTAATATTTTTATATTTAGGCTAGAAACCTTCTCAGTCCCCAGGTTTTGAAGGACCTTTCCTTCAGGTTGACCTGTGGCTGACTGAGCAGCTCCGTGCATGGGCTGCAACTGTGCCCAGTATTTCTTTTGCAAGGTCACAGCTTTAAATTCTGACACTGTGTAAAGCAATTTCCAGCAGTAAGCACCAAATCTCAGCCTTGTAGAGCATAAATTGTTTGTTCTGTTCTTTTTATTGCTTTTAATAAGCACTTGCATAGCAATATAATGTCTCTGTGAATTTGTAATCCCTCTTCAAGGAAAGTGTGGGATGTGTCTCGGGTTTGTACTGTACTTTCTGTTGTAGACGTATTGTAGTGAAAGGATGCTGATTTTTTTATATAAACATGTGATTAAAACTTGGTCTTGATTTTCCCTCATTGCAAGTCTTGAAGCAACAGGTTTATGTTGTGGATGAGACTTTATTCTACTGAACTAGTTCACATTCAGAGCAAACAGGCTGAAATCACACCTGTTTTTGGTTGTTTGTGTAGAATAAATAATGGCCTGTGCCCAAATGGGTTTGTATATGATCCCTGACCAGGGCAACCTGGCCAGTGACTGAGCCTGACAAATGGAGCTTTCTGGCACTCAGACTCCAGAGTATTAGAAATATTCAAAACACAGCATAAGTCTTGCTGGAAGAGGATGGTTGTGAAGTGTAACATTTTGGGAAGACTTGGGCACGGAGTGCTTTGAAGGCATTTGAAACCATACACCTGCAGCCTCCCATCAGCCTGCCTGGGCACTTCCCAGAGCCCAGTTCTGCCAACAAATTGCCTGGTTCAACCTTCAGGGTATTGTCTTCTTGCATTGGCAGGAGCTGAAGGAACGTGTGTGCCTGCTTAACACCAAATAATGCAGTAGGAGTGTGCTGGTTAATTGGAAGTAGCAGGCTAAATTGAATTCAAAATGTGTAACAAAGGGGGAATGGTAGATCAAGCTGTCAGAGAAAAAGTGGACAGCCCTGGCTTGCTGCTTTCTGGGAGAGTAGGCTTGGATTCCTTTTGAAATTTCAGGACACACATTTTGAATTGAGCTGTGTAACATTGCAGGGTTCTGCCTTGCGTGATTTACTTCACTTTTCCTGCAGTTTTCAACAAGGAACAGAATAATTAAGTTCATTTGGTTTGTCATATTTTTGACATATGTTCTAAAAATAATTCTATAATCCTTGCAATTTATCCAGTAATTTCTTTATTAGAAGCCATATTCATACTATTCTAAGAAGCTGTTGATGTTATCCTATAATATCAACATATCATGTTGATTTTAACTTCTCAGATTGCTGTTAAAAGCCGATCAAAAACTAGACATAGAATATTAAACCAGAATATTCTCAGCCTCTGCAGAGTTAGCATTGATCTGTGTTTTAAACCTTTAAAAAGCCACCCCTCTGCAGCGGTTGAAATGTTCATAAATCATGGAATGGTTTGGGTTGGAAGGGACCTTATAGACTATTTATTTCCAACTAAATGTGGAGCAGCCACAATTTCTCTGGCACCATTTGCCAGTGCCTCACCACCCTCCCAGTAAAAATTTTTTTTTCTGGTATCTGAGATTTGTGGGACCAGAGTGATCTTGTGACTGTGTCCAGGGAACACTGTTCCATGGGATTGTCCCTCAGCACCTTCAAAAATCATCATCCCAATCGGCAGCCAGCACTGCTTATCTCTTCTTTTAGTCAGCACTAGAAGTTCACGGGGTGGTCATAGAATATTCTGTATGCACGCAATAAAAACAACCATCCAAACCCTATGAATGGCTTAAAAATGGCTTAAAAGTGCTGTATGATAAGGCACTTTGTTGATTCCTTCAAGCATGGTAGTTAAAAAAAACACAACTCAGTTGTGTTGTTTTATATATGAATAAAGATGTCAGCAAGTAGTCATCTAACTGTCCGTGCCATTTGGCAGTATCTAGCTTCCTTTTCAGTAATAGCCCAATAAATCTTTATCTTCTACTGAGCTGATGACAGCAAAACATCTTGAGAAGCTGCATGTGGTGTAGATATTACAGTTAATACTTAAATGCTTCATGCCATAGTCTACTGGGTGTTTTTTCCCATCCAGATGTAACTTCCTGATTTAAGGCATGTGCTCGCTTCTCCTGCTAGTGATTCCAAGAGCCTGATGATAATTAATTGATTAATTAAGGTCTGTTATCCAAGAGCACCATGTTGGTCCACAGTAACTGAGATCCACCTGCTCAGGTGACCTCACTGACCTCCTACCTAAAGGAGTACCAAAAAAAAGGAGTACAAAAGTTGCAGCTTTGCCATTTGGAGCGGGTTCTGTATTTTGCATTTTCTTTCTGCCTACAAGCCCTTGGTTCATCCAGAAATCCAGGGGCTGTCTCAGCTCTCCCCCCTGCTTTGGAGGTGGCCATGGAGGCTTCCCAGCGGGAGCAGCACTGTGGACTGGGCTCATGTTGGCTGGGTAAGTGGAGCCTCGTTTGGGGTGGAAATGCCCCATGTCCCACAGGTTCTGCCCTGTTCCCATTCAAACCAGCCTGTCATTTCTCTGTTACCTGGTAAGTCTTGGAGTGTCATAAATTATTTATAAAGTGACTTAATGAAAATTCTCTGATTTTTGCAGCTGGAGGAGGCTTTTTTCAACCAGAAATCCAGTTTTTAAATGATTTATTTCTCCTCTAAGAACCACATTAAGATTTCTTGGTGTACATCATCATCAAAAGAGCAAGATTGGTGCAAGTAGAGATTGTGTGGTAATTCCTGCCTGTCCATTTGCTTTTTTCCCCTTTTCCCTGACATTTCAGCTGTGGTAGCTGTTGTGGATCTTGGCCTTGCACTGCCAGGCACAGGGGAAGGCTGCTCTTAATTATTACTTTACATTAAGGGTAGGTATGAAATACAAAGCAGCAAATAGCATCACATTAAATAAGGGCTGTATCCCTGGGTAATGAGGGGTGGGAATGCTGCAGGAGCAGCAGCCATGGATGGCATCACTCTGCTGGAGCCTTTTGTGGAGCCCTTCACCCTCTCAAAAGTAAGAGGTCTGAACAGGCAGCTTGAAAGACTATTAGAACTGCTCACGGCCATAGTTAGCGTGTTAAAATATTTTACAAGAACCCGTGAATTTGATCAGAAAATAGTTATTTTTGGCTGCCAATGTGGCAAAACCACTTAAAATACAAATTCAAGAATGTGTTGAAAGGAGTCAGTTTGCCAGCACAGCTATTGTTTTAGCAAAGTCTCCCCTCTGATCCAACGGGAATCCTCTCCTCAAGTTTTATTACATAAAAAGTTAACATGGATGTCAAGCACCTGGAAATCTTTATGTCTTTGAAAAGAGCGTTGGTAGGGGCTGGATGGATTTGGTTTCTTGTTGCAAACTCTTTTGCTGTGGGGTGTTAGCGGGGGGTTTCCTTCCCTTGGGAAGCTTTGAGGATTGATTTGGTAGTTCAGTGTCACTGCTCTGATAATGTGCTCTCTACAAGGGATAACAAGATGTGTGATTTGGTGCAAAAGTATTTGAATTTGCAGTGGTTTGATTTCTAGCTTAAAACAAAAAAAGAAGCCTTGGCTTTTTCTGCCTTTTTAAAAAATATGTGTAGAACCCCAACCACCACACAAGGGTCCTCTAGAGACAGGGCTGCCTCCTTTGAGAAAAATCCCAGAAATGCCTGTAAGCACTTGGGACAGGATGATTTCAGCTGTAGAAATCCATTTTGATGCATGTCTCAGTCAGGGCTCGTGCAAGCAGAAAGCCCTTGGACCCTTGAGGAGCTGGAGAAGGGATAGGTCTGCAGCCCTTGTTATCTCGAGTACATAAATGGTGCTGCAGCATCACGTGCCAAGGCAGGGGAGATGTGAAAAGCATCATGACCAATAAATTAATGTTTTACTTTGAGTGGGCATGAAGGAGGATGTTGAAAACTGGGTTTCCTCCTGCCTCTGCTGCCAGCAAAACAAAACCCACACAAGAGGGTTTGAAAGTCCCTCTGGGAAAAAATGTTATTGCCAGCTCCACCAGAGTGCCTTGTCCAAGTTGCCCTGAAGGAATCTCTGCCAGAAATACCTGTTAACAATAAGGACCTGTTAATGTTTCACAATTATTTTCCAAAGTATTTAATTGCTGAATCAGTCCCCAACAACAAGAAACTGGTAGATATTAAATACACAGTAACTGTGGAAACCTCTGGTCTGTCTGCATGTGCCAAGACCAAGACACAGCTGTACATCTGCAGGTGTAGAGAGGACTCTGTGTGCAATCAAGATGAATAAAAAGCTGGGGGTCTGTCAGTCATAACTACAACTTTTCCAAAGAAAATCAGCATGTTTTCTGTCTTTTGTGGAAGGAAGCTAAACCACAAATTACTCATGGCAGTCACATCCCAACTTTTCTGCACAGAGGCTGCTCTGGAGAATGAAGGAGAGCAGTGTTAGTGGCCAGTCAGGAGGGATTGTTTGAAATTCCCCATCCCTACAAAGGTGTGGCTTTGTCACTGGCTTCAGACCAGATACAAACTCATGATTTACCACAGGTCTGATTTTCCTGCCTCAAGGTGTATTTACAGAGCCCTTGCTTGGCTTCCGCTCGTGGATGTCAAAGCTGATGAGGCTGACCTTTACAACTGACAAAACCTCACAAATTGCAGCTTCTCTGCCTGATATCAGGGCACCATTGCAGCTTATTTTGTTAGTTTATCCTCCCCAAATGAGGAAACTGCAGTGCTGGCACAACACCTTCAATATTTCTGCCTCACTGTACAGGATCTTAAAGACAAGGCTGTGCCTTGATGGATGTCAGAAAGGAACATTGGCTTTTGAAGTGGTACTGAGAGCCTGTCTTTATTCTTGAGCCTTGGTAAACCTTTTCAGCTTGTAAATTTAGATATCTGCCTACATTTCATCTGCCTGATAGAGTTTAGGAGCTACTTGACAGCAGACCTTCCCAATTTCTGTCAGGTTGATCATTGGTGTGGGTCCCACAGAGCCGCTCCTGTTGGGTGCAGTGCTGTTGGATTCTCACATGTTGGAACATCCATTGCTTGCAAAAGATATTCATTAATCAGTCTGTGGAATATTATCCTCAACACAGACTGATTAATTTTCCTTGGGTTTTCCAGAGGAATAGGTGGATTCAAACCTGCTGGGAGCCAAGGGAGGGCTGGACTGGAGTCTCCTACACCCCTGTGAGAGCTCCAGTCACTGAGTGATCTGATAACCAGAGAACTCCCTATGGCTATCTTCCCACAGGATTACAAATATAGCTTGAAGATTTGTTTATTTAACTGGAATGAGCATATTGGTAATTTGCATGATTTTTTTTTTTGGCCTCCAAAAATGTTTGAGTGACTCAGTAGGTGGCACCCTTTCTATTC